GGGGGGGGTTACCAACCAGCTGATATTCGCTGGCAAGCAGCTAGTGCGTTCCACGTCGACTTGCTGGCTCGTTCGGCTCACCTCGGCCGCTGTAATACCATCACGTGACTAAGGGCCGCGAGAGAGTTGTGCCCACCTCTCCTCCCACACAAAGACCATGTAACCCACAGTATCTGTCATCCGGTGGACACCCCCTTATACATCGCAATGATCATGAACTTTGATTTTGGATAGGGCGAACTATCGGCGACGCTGAGAAGTGCACCGTGGAAACGAACGTGAACATGTCTCGGAGCGTGCAGCAGACCATGCCGTGTCATATTTTCCTATAACTATTTAAACTCGCACTGAAAGGCACAATCCCAGCAGCACATCTCTAATCAATATCTCAGTGCACTTCACACGGAACATGCCACTATGACTTTCGAATACGGCACCGAAACGTACGAGCAGGCGTTTCCCGATCACAGGGATTCCTTCACCAGACCGTCTATTCGCGGGTACATATCGTACGGACTCAAGTTCCACGAAGCCTGTGCTAAGCACCCCAGCGAGACTTTTCGCTGCTCTCGTGTGTACATTTTGGATTCTGCTTCCCTGGCCAACAACACGTTCGCTCTCGCTGCTTTGAAGAAGGCGCTGGGAGCGAAGGTCGTTGGTGTAAAGACTGGCTTGACCAGTCATACTATGTGGAGTGAATGCGTAGAAATCACCAATGAGTGTCGTTCCATGGCAGTGGACCTGATTATTAAGCTGGGAGGGGGCAGTCTAACCGATGCCGGCAAACTGATTGTTCTGGTGCGCATATATATGTCCGTAACATGTTTAGTCTCTTACTCAACATACTGGCATTATAGGCACTCGCGAACGACGTAACTCAGTCTGACGACTTGAAGAGACTTCCCGCCAATTATGGCGCTGAGGCGGGCGGAACAAAACGATCCGTTGTTCCTGTCATCTGCTTCCAACCACGCTCTCTGGTGGCGAGTATACCAACTACTCCGGAGCAACCGAGGATTCCACCAAGCGTAAATACCAGTTTGGCCCCCCTCTGGTTGGACCTGCCCTTGTGATTCTCGATCCTGAGCTCGCACTCATGACCCCGGACAAGCTCTGGCTCAGCACTGGTGTCCGGGCTGTGGATCACTGTGTCGAAACATTGTGCTCACTCACTTTCAACGAGAAAGGCGATGCCGATGCGAGCCAAGGTCTCAGGAATCTCATTTCTGGACTCTTGAGATGCAAGACAGATCAAACCGATTTGGACGCTCACTTCCTGTGTCAGATCGGCGTCAAGTTCGCCATTAGCGCTCCATGCCGTCAAACCCAGCCCGCCATGGGTGCGTCGCATGCCATCGGCCATATGATGGGGCCTCTGGGCGTTGGCCATGGCGAAACCAGCTGCATCGCCCTTCCAGCCGTGTGCAAGTTTAATGCTGCCAAAGGAGCGAATCTCGAACCTCAGCGCAAGGTCTTTGACATTCTCTGGGAACTCAAGGAAATTCAAGGTCTAGGATTGGACAAGGAGAAGGCGGACCTGGGAGATGTGCTTGATGCCTTCTTCCGCGTCCTCGGCATGCCGAGGACGTTGAAGGCTGTCGGCGTCGCCGGAGACAAGGTCGATCTGCTCGCCGAGAATACATTGCATGACGATTTTTGCGGCGACCAATCCCTACCCACTCAAGACCAAGGAGGATGTGATGGAGATATTGGAATTGGTGCGGAGTTAAGCAGTCCTGTAGATATAATCTCCTTCCGCAAACTAGGCGATGTACCTAGTTTTCTTGACTTAAAAAAGTCCATCTTAATTTTGTTCGTTTGCATGAACAACCCAACCCTATCACATACAGGCGAACTTGGTACAAATACGCACGAACGATGACAGCTCGGTGTTCTCAGACGGCGGTGACAAGACTTGCTCCGAGAAGATGCTGATTTGTTCCGAACCGTACCAAGGGTGAACAGTGATTAAAAGCAGATGTTAAAGGAGTCATCCCATTCCGACCTGAATCCTCTAGACCCAACGAATGTGGGAAATCATACGTGTTGGTGAAGGATTGCTCCATAGCGGCGAGTGCAGCGAGAATTGCCATTTCGGTCATTTCGGTTTCTGTTGGGATGCATTCGCGAGCCTCTTCTGGAAGCCGGGCAGATATATGCGAGGGAATTGAAGGGTATAAGGATATATCGTGGATATTGAGTCCATCAGCACTGGAGATGGAGCATAGACGGAGCTTCGCCTCTTCGTGATCACAGTTGTACATAGTATGATATCGTTCGGTCAAGGGATACATGTGCGTCGTGGACCAGCAGGCAAGCGGCTCCTCGACTTCGGATTCAGAATCGCTGTCAGAACTGTCATAGTACTTCTCCATTGTTTTGGGGGCCATCGTTAGCTTGGTCCCACGAATGCGCACAGTTAAAGATTTCCGATCCATGTGCGACAGAACATCACGTCGCTTGCGCTTCTTTGATGGGTTAAATGGCAGTGCTCGAGTCCCAGTCTTCGTTCCATGTGTATCATTGGATTTTCGATGAGAACACTTGAAGTAGTCAGACATGCGTGCTCGTTTCTTCCCTTTGGAGCCGAGTACACTGGGGTTGGATACAGGCCTCTCGGACGTGCGATGAGGTCCTCTCCACTCGAATTTTGTCGAAGATCGAGGCTCAGACGGTCTCCATACTTCGGAAAGAAGAGGAGGGTTGACGTAAGCCAGTGTATATGCACGTCCGGCAGGAAGTGCGGGAAGCTTCTTCCCCGACAACGTACCATCCTCATGTATTCGGTAGCCGGGTTCGGTTGCTTGCTGCCGGCATTTCCCATGAGGTCGATCCCGAGGTATGGGGTGCGAAGACCCGGTGCAAGGAGGATTGTCCAGGATCGAGATATTCACTTTAGACGAACGAGCACGCGTTGATCTCCATTCCTTGACAATGCGCGCCTTCAGTTTCTTGTACGGTGTGGATGGCGGGAAGTTAGGATGTGTCTAATGAGTTTGGGGTCAAGTTGTTGGATTTTTGGGCTGGCGGGATTCTTGTTACCTTGGTATTTGTGAGGTCCACTCGAATCTGATGCACAATTCCACCCTCCATTCTGAACACGATTTTGTCACCATTGATGAAAAGCGGAACGACACGCCCTTCATCCTCGATGTTCGAGGCGGAGGTCATGGGATGAAGAGTCATAGTTCTGCGTCCAAATTGGAGGCTGAACTACACGGTTATTGTAAGTCCCAAAATATCCATGTCCCTCGGTGAAGAGAGGGTGTAGTTAAGGGGCGGGATATGTTTGCGTTTAGTAGGCGCTCATGGAATGAATGCTTCCTTCACTATCACTGCCACAAGCGCGTTTGGCTCCCACAATTATTTAATGACTCAAGAGTCGCGCTGCTGTCTCTGTGCATCAACCACGGCGTAGACCCATTGGTATATCAACTGCATGGATAACTCAATAGATTCATCGATTCGCCGAGAATTCGTTGCCTCAATCTGCTGCATTTCAAATCAACCAACGTAGATTCGGCTTGAGCTTGCTTTGGGTAGATCTGTACATTATACAGAACTCAGTAGCGGTCAGATAAAACCTCTTTTGATATGTAAGTCGCCTGATATATTTTTGTTGACAATGACGCCAGGTCCTTTGCTCCGCTCGTCTATGAAGCTTGTGGTGATCTTCTTGGAGGTACAGACATGATTGCTGCAAAGTCCAATTACATTGGAAACGGCTTCATTTGCAATCTCCGGAGCCCAGACTTCGATCCCGTTAGTTTTGGCTACCGTCTTGTACGTTCTCGCTCATGATACTTACAGGACGAAATCACCGATCCTCGCGATCTCACCAACTGGCACGTGTGAGCTCCATTCCATTTGTCGTGTTACCGATCCTTGATGTAACAGCGCAGCGATGGGGACTGGTTCCGGCATTTCTTGGACTGCGAGTGTCAGGCCCTCGAAACGTTGGTTCTTTGGTCCGATGTTGAGGCACGTGCTGGTCCAACCTATGTCTGTCCCGATGGGATCGCGAAGGTCGCCGCATGGTAGGCACTTCCATTAACGCGTTCAATTAAAGGGTACTCACTATCTCGTAGGCTGCGCGACCATCCTGAGGGTTCGGACACGATGATGGACGAGAATGGCGAGAAAATCGTGCCGAAGCTAGTCAAGACTTGCAATGTTTTCGAGGAGGTTGGTATATTCCTGGACTGTGAGGGCGGTGCATTGAGATAAACGCAGTGTATTGGCAAGATGGGTGACGTGTTCTTGTGCCACCCTCTTATGGTGCATAACTTTGCCGCAAATTTCCCAGAAGAATTCTGACCTCTCCGCACCCCCATTCGCGCCAGAAGAACTACATTCGTAATGAGCGATTCATTACCAATCCATGCGTAAACCGCAACGAACATTTCGACTTGAATCGGGAGAATTCAGATGACTACGTATGAATAACCCGTTGCGTATAAACACATTGTTGATCAATTTTTGCAGTGCCTCGTTGAGCTCAAGACACTTCACGACCTCGACGCAAACCGTGTAAAATACGAGCCGACCCGCCCTCGGGACCGCTGGGTTCCCACGACGTTGACCCGTGCGAACAAGACGATCGAGGTCGAAGTAGAGCGTATGCGTGAGAACTCGAAAAAGACTGGTATTCCTTTTGAGTCATACCACGCCAACGGCATTGATAACAGCTGGATTGTCAAGGCCAGGGATATTCCCACTAGTGCCTAGCCTGCCTGGTGTTTCACGAAATCTCTTGTACTGTGGTTCTAGGGAACAACCGTTTTGATGATACAATTTGCTTTCCTTGCTTATCGGGCCCAGAGGAGGGAGTCCCTCGGCACAACATCACATTGTCATTTGCCTACTACGGGCTAGGTAGTTGCATTGCAAGGCCCTGTCTTCATGGTCAGGGCTTCAATCATTCACTAGTCTGAGATATACGAACCCGCAATGCCCCTCTCGCTGACAACATTGATGCAAGTATACCGAGCAGTCAAGTTAGAGGGCGCGAGCTCGATGTTGAAATCACTGAAGACCATCCCTGGACAATGTGCGGCGGCTGAGCATTCGATATCGATAACACGGTTAGTGTCTGCGGTTCCGCGCCAGTTCATGAAGCTGAGGTCTGCAAATTGAAGTTCTGACGGAGTCTCGGATGAATTACCACCATTTGTCTGATAGACATGCACCGGTCGGTCCACGAGATTGAGCGTGAAATCTCGGGGGACGACGTTCTCGACCTTGCCTGTGCCGCCGCCTCCGCCTGTCGGAGGCACGCCAACCGTTTCTCCCGTCCATGTCTTGAAGTATACACCGCCGCCCATGTTTGGCTGAATACTGTGGTCGAGCCGTGTGATCTGCGAGCCTTGGCTCAGAAGAATCGGCATGACGGAACGGACGACATACCGTGAAGTCTTCGAGTAGAACATTCTCAACGTAATCGGGGAGATCGACATATTGCCCAAGAGAGCCGAATGCGACGCCATTACCTCCACGACAAGTATAATTACTTGCATGAATGTTCGTCGAGTTCTTCAATTTCATCAGTTTTACTGCTGTATGCCTACAGTAAGCGTACTTACACCCTTGATAGCCAAGCAGTCATCACCGCAGGTGATATCCCAGTTGAACAAGTTGATGTTGTTACTGCGGAAGGTGTTGATGCCGTCTGTGTTCGGGTCAATGTTTTGACCGAAGAAAGTCGAGTTCGTGTTGGTCGCATTGACAAACATGCCGTCGTACTGCAATAACGTCAGGAAGCTCTGAAATGACAGTTGACACGCGCACCGTAATTTCCTGACTCTCGGCAACACAATTGCTCCAGAAGGGCGGACTCTCGATCCTAAACCCCTTGATCGTCGCCCTCTGGGCTTGATAGACGGTCAAGCTAATCGGCCGCCCATCCCCATCCGCCTTTGTATGTTGGGTGAAATACTCCCACCATGGCTGACCGTTGCCATTGATGCCGCCTGCGTTATGCGCGTCGATGATGAAATCGGAGCCGGTGACGACGAACCACAATGCTTGCGACTGGACGAAGACGACACGGTAAGTGTTGTTGTAGTTGAGCCAATATTGGATGTCAGGTTGGAACTGAGCAACATCAGCGTAATATCTCAGATGTGCCTCAAATACCAACGTTCAAATAGCCCCACAAATCGACAGTTGCGTCCTCGAGCTCCCAGGTCATCTTCCTGACACATCATTAGCTTTTTATCTGTCGTTAACGGCTCTCTCACCTGGTGATATTGAAGCCTCCCGGACGGAAAACGGTGTGACCGCCCTTCCCACAACGAGAGATTGCAGCAAGCACTTGATCCGTGTCGTCCTTGCCTACTCCAAGGGGGGAGAGGATGCAGGTTTTCCCATGTTGCGTCGTGGCCACGCCAAGTGCGATTCGGAGGAAGTCGATGCACAGATGCGTGAACAGACTCGGCTTCATAATGAGATTTCAAGGCTTGGGATATCGTACCATCCAGCCTTCTTCACTCGAAGGCGGGCGCCCAAGGAAAAGACGCAAGAAGCTCAACGTCCCAATGTTCTCCAGGTCATGTGTGTGCTGAGAAGTTCGGCCACATGCGCAACTTTAGAAGTTGAATTGTTGGACGCATGTTTATTGACTGCCCGTGGAAGCTAGGTGCACGGTGACGCAGTCGAGGTGGTCGTTCGGCCTAAAGTTGCGGAAACCATATACTGTAGAGGACGAGCCACAAATGTCATAAATCAAGTCGATTGGTTGCATAACCACTACAGCGCATACACGTACTAAATTTTCTTTTTTGTGCACAACAAACATACATAAGACCCCAGCCTCTTCCCACTCGCTCCGACAGCACACCGTGAGAGAAAATGCAAGAAAACAAGGGAATGTGAGACGGATTACCCAAATACACCAGAGTGCCGTTCACCGATACAGCTCGAGTCACAGAGAGGGAAGGAGGCGCTCAAGGAGCCGGAGCACCGATGTTGATCTGGACCGACTTGATGTTGCAGTAGTTGGCGAGGGCATACTCGCCAAGCTCGCGGCCGACACCGGACTGCTTGTAACCGCCGAATGGCACCTGGGGGTGGAGCTTGTTATAGCAGTTGACCCAGACGGTACCGGCTTGGAGGCGGCTGGCGACGAGGATCGCGCGGGAGATGTCGCGGGAGAAGACAGCAGCAGCAAGACCGTAGAAACTGCGTGCGATTTAGTTGTCCGAACATGCACGATGCGAGGAGAGTTCACTCACGTATCGTTCGCCTGGTGGAGGATATCATCCTCATCCTTGAACTTGACGACTACGACGACGGGCCCGAAGATCTCCTCACGAACGATCTTCATGTTAGGCTTGACATCGGTGAACACGGTTGGCTGGATGAAGTAGCCCTCCTTGCCGTGACGTTCACCACCAGTCAGGAGCGTAGCACCCTCCTCCTTTCCTGATTGGATGTAGCCCATGATGCGGTCATACTGAATCTGGGACACCTGTGGGCCCTGGAATGTGTCTGGGTCCATAGGGTCGCCGACCTTGAGGGTCTTGATGTGGGCGGCGAAGGAAGCAATGAACTTGTCGTAGATGCCCTCCTGGACGTAGACACGGGACCCGGCACAGCAGCACTGGCCGTGGTTGAACATGATACCAAATGCGGTCCACTTGACGGCATCCTCGAGGTTGCAGTCATCGAAGATGATGTTGGGGGACTTGCCACCGAGCTCAAGGGTCGTCTTCTTCAGGTTGGTGTTGGCCGAGGCCTTGAGGATCGAACGACCAACAAGGGTTGAGCCAGTGAAAGCCACCTTTTCAATGTCCATGTGGTTGGCGATGGCAGCGCCAACGGTTTGTCCGTAGCCGGTGATGATGTTGACGACACCGGGTGGGAAGCCGGCCTCGTTGATCAGGGTGCAGACACGGAGAGCAGAGAGGGGAGTGAACTCGGAGGTCTTGAGAACGACGGTGTTACCGCAAGCGAGTGCGGGGCCGAGCTTCCAGGAGAGCATGTACACTGCATGTATGCGTTAGAAGTGCAGGGTAAGAGGGTGCGGAACACTCACGAGGGAAGTTCCAGGGGATGATCTGACCAACAACACCGATCGGCTCATGGAGGGTATATGCAAACTTGGTCTCGTCAACCTCAATGGTCTTGCCCTGGATCTTGTCTGCCCAGCCTCCGTAGTAGCGGATGACGGCAGCGCTCTGAGTGACGTCAAAGTCGAGAGCGATGGAGTAGGCCTTGCCGTTGTCGAGCGCCTCGATGGCAGCAAGTTCTTCGGCGTTCTTTTCGATCAGGTCGGCGAGACGCATGAGGAGACGACCACGCTCTGAACCAGGAACCTTGAGACCCCATGAGGTTTGGAAAGCGCGGTGGGCGACCTTGACGGCAGTGTCGACGTCCGCGGGGGTACCCTCGGAGATGTCACAGACCTTCTTGCCATTGGTGGGGTTGAAGACCCTGTGGGGATGGGGGTTAGAACCATTCCGGGTAAGCGAGGCGGTGATGAGAGAAGTGCTCACTCGATGGTCTTTCCCTCTGAACCTGCGGTGAACTTTCCATCAATGAATATGCCAGTGGAGAAGTCAGCTGTGCCTTTGTATGGGCAAGGTGCCTCGAAGGTGTACTTGAGATGTGTTGCCATAGTTCAAAGATGGGAGATGGTGGTCAAGAGTGAGGGGGGGAAGAGGGGGGGAAATGCGCTGTCGGAGAGTGAGGTGGAACCTGGGGGGTTATATAGTGTGAGGTGGAGGGAAACCTGACACGCCATGGATGATCGTTGGTATTCACCTCATACATTACATACGCAATGTTCAAGTGGTGTCATGTGATCGTTGCTCCGGGTCACCGGGTCCACTTTCCCTTTCATCTCGGTCAATCCTCCCAATTCGGTCAATTGTTCCTCCGTAAACTAATTGTCTGGCACCTTCATCGCCCTTAACAATCTACTTCTTCAACAATGGTAACCACAACAAATACTTCGACTCAACGTGCGCCAGCAACTCCCAGCACAGTACAAGTAACCGCGGATATTCGGCTCCAGATCTGTTGCCCGGTTCAACATCCTTCCATCTCGTCGGTCATAAGCCCATCTCCTTTCCCATCTTGGTTAATCCTCTCCCGTCCCCTGTTCTCTTCTCAGTGTAATTGTATGCTTCTAGTCTTATCACCTACCTCCGAAATACTCGATCGGCGATCCCACTTCAGGGCATTCACTTCCCGGTCTTCTCCGCTTAACCCTTCCTACCAGCGCCTCTACCTCAATTGACCAATTCCACGCAGTTTTCTATTCTTCTTTTCGCATCTCCACATCGCGACTCCGTTTCACCTCCCCCTTGCTCCCTTTGACAACGTACAACAAACCCTGAGCACGAACATCGAGAACACACGCATCGGAGGATATCGGGATGCCTAAATGCGTCAGACCACCCAAGTATCTCAGGTTTAAAGCAAGGCACGATCACCCCATCTTCTGCCGTGAAGACTTTCTTATTCAGTCCATAACAACAGGGGCGATAAGCACACCATCTTAAAGTTCCCCACACGCTGCCCCACAGCCGACCCCCGCTCGCCCCGCAGTCCCAGATTCCTAAGCGCCTTCGGGCAGAGGTAACGTGAGACAATGAAGAAGCAGCATGGGGGGCAAAGTGGGGAAATTGAGCGCAAGTGATCCGAGTTGACCCGTGTCCCTGGCACGCGACCCTGCTAGGGCCTCGAGTGCGGGGAGACGCTTATGAGAATGGGTACACCTTGGAGAGTGATCTTGGAGAGTGATTGGTCGACGGAGAAGGTGCAGCGGCATAGCTGTATAGTCCGTGAGAATTCTGGTCGGAAATAGCAGCAACTTCCCGCGGTTTGAGACGGTGTTGAGACAACACAAGAGGTATCGCGAATTCTGCAAGAGGAATTCTATCCCTCGAGCCCGGAAAACGGCAGTCAAGAATCAATTTCTCAGAGTAGTGCCCATCTACTGCCCCAGCACACGCTTCGGCTCATACCTGTACTCCATCAGCATCGGACCGACTATCCAATATATCACGTACGGTTCTTCGAGGTATTTTATCTCCTCCTCTGTCAACTTCTTATCCGGGATGATCGCTTCCTCCAGCCGTTGCGGCTGCAGCCTAGTCAGAACATCTCTCTCCCAACTGGGAACGTACTTACCGAGCTAATGCCCACGATAGGCGCAGTGACCTTGGTGTTCATCCATGCCAGAGCAACCTGAGCCATCTTCCACCCCCTCTTCTTCGCCAGCTCCTCGACCCTGTTGATGATCTCCTTGTCCGCTGCAGAGTGCTTGAGCTCAAACGGCGTTCCCTTCGTCCCTTCGCTACGGGTGCTCTCCTCCCCCAACGGGCGGGCGAGATGTCCATTCGCCACAGGGCCCCAGGGGATCAGTCCGAGCCCAAATCGGTTGCAGTAGGCGTTCATCTCCCGCTCTTCCTCGCGGTACAACAGCGAGTACTGGCTCTGCATGCTGACGAACTTCGTCCAACCGTGTTTTTCGGCAACGTTGTTATACTCTGCGAGCTGCCAAGCCCACATCGTCGACGCGCCAATGTACCGCACCTTGCCGCTCCGCACCAGGTCGTTCAGAGCCCACATCGTCTCCTCAGCAGGGGTGTTCGGGTCGGCCCGATGAATCTGGAGCAAGTCGATGTAATCCGTCTCGAGGCGAGCGAGGGACGCCTCGACTTGGTTAAAGATTGCAGCCCGGGAAAGACCGGCTTGGTTCACAAAGTCGCGCTGGTTGTGCAGCTCGGGGTTGAAGAGCGTGTGCTGGCCCGGGGTGTTGCCCACCAAGAAATGGCATTTCGTGAGGATGAGCACCTTGGACCGGGGGATGTTGTACTGCTCTGCTGTGAGCACGCAAGCCTGTGCGAATGGACGCGACGCACCTTCTTCAATGCCTTGGCAATAATACGCTCGCTCTCGCCATTGGAGTACTAGTGACTTGATTGAGCACAAGGACATAGGATGGACGCATACACGCACGAGGTTCGCCGTATCCCAGGTGGTAACACCCCTGTCCCAAGCCGCCTTCAACAACGGCAGCGCGGCATCCTCATTGAGGACCCATTTCTGTCTTGTGTCAATAATGGCCCCCGGACAGCGAAAAAAAAGAACTTACACCCCATTCCTCGCTGCCAAAACTCATGCACCCCAGAACGGGGTTAGACACCCTCAACCCGCTATTGCCCAGCCGATGGTAAGTGACCTGCGGAACTGTTGCCATTTTTCAGTTGGGATTGAGTGGCTGTCGAGAAGAGAACAGCGACAGGGCCAGTAGAAGGTGTGGGGTACTTGTACCAATTTCTGGCTGAAGGTATGTCGCGGTAGACTGAGGTGACGCCCGCACACCGGATGATCGATGAGCCTCAACGTTTCGGACAAGGGCAGATTTGTAATTGTTGGGATTGTATTGTTCATTGTGTGGCTCAATAGATTTGGATTCAGGATTTGGTTGGTCATATAGGACGAATTGGACAAGCAGACCGGGTAGAAGTCAACGATTGGAAATTATATTTTCTTCGGTGGGAATGACGGCCCGTTCGGAGTAACGGCTCCGCTAGTCTTTCGTGCTGGTCTGGGCGTAAATGTATTACAATCGTGTCAACAGAGCCTTCTCATTGTTCTATCTCACAGGATATATGTTCTCGACGTAGCTGTAGAAAATTAGAAGATGAACGAGTTGCATAAACAATATGAAGCATGTCACGCTCTGCAAACCCGGTGGCACCGTGTGTCCTCAAGCAAGGCGATTTAAAGGCACAAATGGAAACATGCACCTCAGCGTACACGAACCTCGTTATGTCTAGTACATTCAATTAGCACGCCTGCTGGTGTTCGTGTCTCCATGCTGAAGAGCTATAAAAGAATACAACGCGAACAGGCTCCCTGTTATTCAATTGGTTGGTAATGATATCAATACAGAGCCTCACCTCGTCCTGTTTGGTCGCTATCATTTGTCGGCCATCGCTCGTTGATGGGTGTCTAGCGGTCCTCTTGACACCGTGATGCCGTGCTGCGTACGCGTCTTTGAATGGTCCCAGCCTCGTGCAGTAAAGGCGTGTAGATCAATCTTTCATCATCAGCTAAGTGATATATGTTCCGTCCGGCATTGGCCGCAGCAGTTCGCAGTGCTGTCATTCTCGAGCCTGCAGATACATAGCGTGCATCCCGTGTGGTATATTGACAGCACTAGGATAGTAAGCGGCGTCCATACTGATTTCGCTGGTCGGCCATAAGCATATTTCCACATCCTGCTGACGGTTTCCGGAGAGAAGTTCCGGACGAGAGATGGGCAGTGCCGAGAGCGAAGATAAAAGGGTCATGATGGATATGCGTGGACAGTAATGTCATGTAATGTAGCTCCGTTGTAGGCTGTCAAAGAGAACACATGCATATATACGACGTGTAACGAAGAGGTAAGTGCCGAGTGTAAAGAAGGGGCGAAAACCGAAGTGAAAATGAGTACGGTCATGAGGCAGCCTCGTTGTATTCGCATTCTTCTGTTACAAAGGAGTATAACTCGCAAATATTCTAATTATTCTCGCATTATTCTAAGGCCAACCGTTGCATTGGAAAATAATTACCAACTGGGAATAAATGGTATTTAATTAGACTTGTTGGGTGATTTCTATTCGCGTTGCTGAAACCACAATCGAAACGAAGCAACCTTTTGACCGTCCATCAGTCACGCTCTTCACAGTACACGCTGTGTGTGCAACGACGACGACGACGACGGCGACGTTCTTCTCCTTCCTACCACCATCTACCACGCATACATCGACTCCTTCAAGGCTAACGTAACTGGAGTACAATGGTGACTAGTTGGCTGTAGCCTCGTCCTCATCGTCATTTACTCATCGACGCAAACGACATTGTCCGTCGTCCCTGTCCATCAACGAGTCGCCGTCGCCGCCAATTGACGTCTGGACGGCGCATCCACTTCATACGCTCTATTCTTATCCATCTATTCCCCGCACCATACGCTATCGGCCACATCGCCCTGCTAACTGTCCGCCAACTGTTCGCCGACTATCCTATACGACACTCACGATCTATCCTCACGACCACTCAGGCCCAATGCCACACCACACCATCCCCTTGCCCCTTTCCGCCCATCCACAGCCGCACCCTCAAGAAGAACGCAAGAGCTCGCGCTTATTTACCCGTGTCAAGCATGCCCTTTTGCGCACTTCCCCTCGCGCTGACAAGTTTTCCGACGCGGGGAGCGAGGGCGACCCCAGGGATAGGGAGGTGATCGATGTGCGGCGACTAGAGAAGGACAAATACGACCGAGGAGTCGAGGCAGCCTACGAAGTGAGTCTTACCCGTTTATTACTGGCGAGAAGCATTTATCGCTCCAAGCAGCCTACAGCCCGCGCATCACCCGAACCGAGCACACCTACGTCCGTCCTCCCACGTATCCATATCCACCCCTTTTCTGCCCCTCATCCGCACTCGCCACACCACCTCACCTCACCCCTACCCTTGCTGGAAGAAGACGATGCACCTTCGTCTTACCCGTCGAGCACGGGTGGGGCCGCGAGTGACTGTGAGACGAGCACTTACCGTCCGAGCATCAGGAAGCGAGGAAGTGACACCATCCGCGTGTCGCGGCCCACCACAGCGACGAGCAGGCGACACGAGCCAACCTATGCCGAGGCGAGCGTGCAATGTTCTCCAACTGAGATGGGCAGTTCAGGTGGACAGGAGAGCTTCCCCTTGGCAGCCATGGCGCGTATCCGCACGCTCGAACAGGAGCTCAGCGAATTGCAAGCCGCGCACGCAGTGTCAACTCACGAATCAGACGATCTGCGCCTCTCGCTCTCCAACGCGCAACGAGAAGTAGAGGCGCTCCACCTCGAGCACCTCATCTCAGAAAAGTTTATCGAAACTATCAAAGTGGAGAACCGCGAACTGCTGATGGACCTTGCCCACCTCTCAGGTGCTGATGCGGCGAGCGTGAGCCACCTCGGGCTCGGAAGCAGGGGATGGGAGGAAGAGGGGAGCGATATGGTCCCCACCCGCCCGACGAGTGTGGCAAGCTCCTTCGATGCTCAGAGCTGGCTTAGCTCGGGCGCGTGGAGCGCCCCACCCTTGAGTGGGGGTGGGAGGAGCCAGAGGGCCGCGAGCAGGGATAGCGCGCCGATCGTCTTGGGTGCGGAGAGGAAGACCCCCGAAGCAGGGAACTTGAGCTTGCCATTGCCTATCACTTTTCCTCCTGGAGCTGCGCATGGCCAGACATCCCCGACGACGCCAAACGGGAACGGGTTTCCCAACGGGAGCATGTTAGGTACCCCTCCCGGCACGGGCATCAGTGTCAGTGTGGGGATAGGCGCTGCGCCCAGTGCGCTGCATAACCATCACCGGCGACCAACAGCAACGAGCATATCTTCTTCCTGTTCCTCAGCCTACGATTCCTCCTCACCACCGTCACACCTGTCCGTTACCCTACCACACGCTCACCCTTATCCGCCCATCCCGCCTCCGCCCCCTCCGCCCCCGGCACATGTGCCTATCCAAGTCCAAGGCAAGCGCGAGCGAGAGAGGAAACTCGGGCCGCAGAGGAGGGACAGCATCAGCAGCCTTAGGCGGACGAGCCACTCGCATACACCTACACAGCCGAGCCCGTTGGCGCTGGATGTCTTGAGTCATGAAGATACGGAGGGGGACGTGGAAGCGGACGGCTCTGAGGAAGGCATAGGTGGGGCGGTTGATACTGGGCTGATGGGCACAGTGCGCAGGGAATCCTGTGAGGAGAGCCCAGTGAAGAACCGTTCCCCAAGTGTCTATTATGGCGCCGAACTCAGCAGGACGAGCACCGTCGCGTCTTCTGTCGTCTCTGCCTCAGTGATGTCTGGGACGGATGGCGAGGAGACGGCAGAAGCTGCAGGACGAGTGTAAGGGAGTGTATGATCATTTCCAGTCGACGGTGCATCTGGTGTTCAAAACCAACGCGTGGTCGAACTATGCAGCCCATGGAACTTCGGTTGGTTTCTTTTGCACGCTTTTACGTTCCACGATTTTCCTTCCTGGTCCTGTTTCCCGTTTTCACTATCCCACTCTCACTCACACGATCTCATTCATCACGACATATCGCATCTGTCCTTTCCTCTACCACTCCACACACCTCATCCCGTCCCATCCCTTCACAAATCCCATCTTTCCCAAAACCCACAACACCTCTTATCTCAGTTATAGCTCCCTGCGTGTTCTGCTTTACGCGCTTGTTGTCCTTTTCATGTGGCTTACTTACCCTCATGTTTATCGTGAGTATTCTTGGTGTGATGTCCCCCCTGGTAATCTGGGGTTAATGACATTCATGTGTATTTCTATCACAACTGGTCGCTATCTACTAATGTGCGAATGTGTGCCGAATGTCACTGCAAACGGACGACATCGCACGGCGATTCGCCCTCGCTTGAGAGGTATCAATGCACACCGAATGAATACCGGACTGATTCCCTTGAAGATAGGACGCCATCTTGCTGATATGCAGATACGGCTGGAACAGCCAAATATTCAGCAGGGGAGTTGTATCGTGAATCGTGCTCGTTCAACTCGTTCGTGTTGTCGAGGTTGAGCGGACCGCCGCCAAAGACACGGTGGTCGCTTGTTCATGCCGCAGCCGCAACCGCCCTCGTGCCATGCGTCTTCTTCCACTTCTCGAGCCTCTTCTGTCTCCTCTCCTCTATCTTTTTTCTCCTCTCCTGGTTTTGGCTCGACTCGCCCTCACCAATGATGCCCATCCCCTGCTCTACCCATTGGCGGACGGTTTCCTCTACCCCCTTCAATCCTCCAGCGGACTCAAAGTCGCTCGTCCATCTCCCGGCCCCTCCTTTACGGAACCAGTCTAGCAACCAGATGGCCGCTAGATTAGTATTAGGAAAGCCACCCTTCCTCACTCGACCTAGGCGCTGCGCTAGGGCTTCGAGAAGAGGTGTTTGGTCATGAGAGGGTGGAACTAGGTTCGCAAAAGACCCGCCGTATTCGGGCAAAAGCCCTCTATACGGATGGGGAAGATCGAATGGCATATTCGCCTTGATCGGAAGTATGTGTAAGAGGTAGGAGGCTAGCAGCTCCGGGTCGTATAGGCTTTCTTTAATGCCGGCTGCACAGGAATCAGGAATGTTGACCCAACGAAACACAGAAGACGCACCAGTCACAGCAAGTTTCATCCCCTTCTCCGATCCAGCTTCCCCGCGTCCGAGATAAGGCACCATGACACCAGGTGTATCGCTCACATAGATGTCAGGCTCTTCATGGATCTTAACATGGCCGGTGAACTTGCGAGTGAGGCCAGCGGTCGCACTGGTGCGGAAAGCCTTGCCTAGGTGAGATTAACCTTATAACAAGATGGAAGGGGTGGTGAACACACACCCTTTTGGATACCGGAGCTGCGCAGCGCATTCAGCAGGCTGGATTTGCCGACGTTTGGCATACCGACGACAAGGACTTCTGCACGAGGATGCGTTTCCTTATTGTTCTCAGCGATATCTAAACATTGTTCAGCAATGCTCTTATCAATCCAAACTAGACACGTACTAGTGATGGCATCAAGTACTCGCCTGACGTCCCCTCGCTGGCCTGTGTTTGCAAACATGACTCTCTGATTCGCGAATTTCTTGAACATGGTCTTCAATGGCTGCTACTGATCAGTATCCACAGGAATAATTACTCACTAGACGCTCACCTCTTCATACCTCCTCTCGGCCAGATCCCGCTTGGCGTATATAATGATCCTCTCTTTCCCCTCCAACTCTGCGCTCGCCCAATATCGTCGGAGCGCCGTCTCGAAAGCAGGGTTTACCGATGTGAGGGGTAACCGCGCATCCCGCACTTCCAAGACAATAGAGGTGGTAGACAGAAGCTTGGGCAGCGAGTTAACAAATGCGGCCATATGTCCGGCGTACCATGATGGCGGGCTGGGGGGGAAGGGGAACCGCGGAATAGACAACGGCAGCATGATGGGAAGGAACTGGACCACGTCGAAGCCAACGCTACGGACACAACGCCACTAGATTGACAAGCTCCAAGTGTCGTCTGTGGACGCTATCGCATTAGTCTATGCTTAGCAAACGAGGGTTGAAGCCAGCTGAAGAAGGCTGCTCGCTGCCTTAAAAATCGAGCTCATCGTCACAAAATATTACGGCGGAGTCATCTCGGAGTTACCGATGTATCACGTGTCTGACAGGGTCTCCCTATTCCTCACTCAAACGACCATCATCGTCCGCCTCGCCGTCCCGTTTCATCCTCACGGTAATGGCCAAAAACAAGGCTAGGTACGACCTAACAAAATACCTTGCGTTTGTAGAACTCCATCCTGATTTTCGTACTTGCTCCCAGGACCATGCTGGTGCGGATGGAATCCACGGCCGCGACAGGATTCTTTTTTGTGCGATCACGTCCTCGCCTGTCTGCAAAGCTAGCTATGATCAAGTACGATCCCAAAGGTACGCCCGACCGAACGTTCCATATGATCTTCTAGTGTATTGATTGTACACATCGCAGCCAAGCGACACGTACTGTTTATAGAGAAGAAGTTGAAGTGAAATCGAAGGGGGCTGCGCGGAGAGCTGGGATGGGTCTAGCGTATGATGGCGCACGCACACGCACAACATTATTTTGCCATATCACGTTTCATAATAGGTGAACGCGGGGTTGGACGTCTGGAGAATGTTCTAGGAAACGATAAACTGCTGCTTCGCCCGCCCCCATCTAGTCCCAGTGCGTTGTGGCTTGAGGCTGACAACTCGGTCCCGCACTCTGACTCTGAGGCCACGCTGGAAAACGTGCTCGTCGATAACCACCACACCGCATACCGTATTCAGGTTGGCCTTCCCGCAACGAGGCTGTGACTAAGCAATCACCGATTCCAGACCGATCTGGTTTAGGGTGTGCGCCCTGTCTTCCCTTCTTCGAGCAAGTCAGAAGGAGTGAGAAGGCTGGCGGAGAAGGACATCTGCTTCTGTTCAGGGGCACTATCACGTCATCAGAGGTAACGTGCTACGAAACAGGTCACTACGGGGTAACTACTCATGTACCTTGGTTTATGATTTACTAAATCGACAGTCCAAAACGCCGGTGGCTACCGTACCGAGGATTCATCCATACCGCTTTCAGAATCCGGAAGTTACCGAAAGGGTTGAAGATTGCTCATTCCCAACCACTAGAGTTCCTCTACCCTGCTGCAGCACCCGACAAGAACAACCCCTCCCATGATGGATTCAAGCGGATTATAGCATAAGTTCTCCATAGTTTCGGCGAAAGCGCTTCCCGACTCACGAGGTTCCAGCAAGTAGGAGGTATGTGGCCGACTAGCATGGAACATCACATTGCACTTTCCTAGATACAGTAGTAAGGAACGAGAACTTTCCGTACTCATCATCATTCATGAGCCAGGAGGGAGACAACACGTATCCTCGGCCCGGGAACACCGTTGATCTGTTCCTAGAGATTGCTTTGAGCGCGGACCGAATCAGTATCACGCCATGAACCGTGTTCACATGTATAGAAGTCGTATTCACGTGATCGTGCGACCTGCTTAACCGTACAATATGTCATACTCCGCGCCAGTGAAGGTTGCAGGTTCCGGAGGTGTGCTTGAGGCCGACTGCTTGAGAGTTGTGCGGGGTCGGCTCTCCACGTTTTGATCAGTGGCAGGGACACTGAGTAAGGAATACTGGTTGAAGCCCAAGAGCGTGGTTCCGGAAAGTACGAAGCATCGCCCAACCGCCGGGTGATCTTAGGGTGGTGGTTAAGAGAACAATGGAACGAGGCAGGCACGACGCCGCCTTCAACGCGTGCACGGAGGCAAATGAATCGGCGAACATTTGTGAGACAGGCAATCTCCTGCTCTCTCCCACGCTTTCTATAACTTTTTTTTCACCGCATGATGGACTGCTTGTGGCCTCACCTCTTGCAGCCTCTCCGGGTTTATGGTCGAGCATCTATCAGAATTCTGACTAGCCATACCAATTGTCCGGACCTTGCGCAGTGCACACTGCCAAGATCTAGACTACACTTCGTCCCGAATCCTTGCTAAATCGATCGACATGCATACCAACTCCAGGCCTACACACGTCGAAAGCCGCCTGGAAACCAGGTGGCTACCCTCGATCGCTGTTGCTTATACAGCACGGTCGAAGATGTTACCTTGGGCTGTCCCTCGACCTCAACAGTGCATCCGCGAGTACGACCCATGACTGGCCTCGACTCGCCATATTCCATCGGGCGTGCACCAAGTGCCATTATCTACCACAGATGTGCGTACGGCAGTGCGTTAGGCCTTGAGGCAAAGGAAGGGGTTGATATAAAGCATTCCCAGCTCGTCAAGCTAAAAGGTCAGCGTACTCGCCCACAATGCCTCCCCCTAAAATGGGTTACGTCGATATGCAGAATGTCCGAGCTATCTGGCAGACCATGCGCTTCGTTCCTTCCCACATCGTTCTTGGCAACTTGGGCACTGGCTGCTCTTCGATGCTCTTGTACTCGGAATCTGTATCTGCATCCTTTACGTCACCTCATCTGCCCCATCCCACCAACCCGAACCACTGGTATCTCGTCCTCGGGCTCAGCAACGGACTACGCCTTCGGATGGAAATCGTCCCGTCTGTTGGAACTCTTGCTATTGTCAAAGTAGATCCGCTTCCGGCCAGCTTCTCGAGGACTAGTGCAAATCCACACAACGGCATGTCGCTTGTGCTCGAGCTGCAAGATCCGCGCACGACACTCATGGACATCTTCCACATCATGATCACCAACGGCTTGCATCAATACGGCTTCACGGCTGGTGGCCGCGGCCATCGACACTGGATTCGAACGATCGTTTACCACCTCGAGGATGCGGGTGTTCTCGAGCAAGACAGTTTGGCTTCCGTCGACAGCATTATTTATCAAGTGTGGTGGAAGGGAACTTCTCTGGGCACGTCCCCTGTTATTCCCGGCGCGTTCTATTCAGTGAGCTCAAGTTTACTCATGCTTGAACTATCTAACACGCTTGTCAGTGCTTTGGGTGCGAGGCCGCTGCACGCCGCTTCTGTGACCATGAGCAAACGTATCCGTGGGCGATGAGTGGCATGCGTCGTCGACAGCACGGATTTGCCTGACCGCCTCCGTCACCTGGATCTTCCAGATCGAATCTAAAACATACATGGTGTGCTCATATTATCATCCAGCTGCGCTGGCCCTGGACACTATCTTATTCTTCCATTATGCGCCGTGCGCATGCATAATGTACCCATATGCCTCATTTGCTGTCGTGTTAGAATACCTCCGCGATTGATCATGTTACCGGATAACCACTGACAAAGACGGATAATGGAAAAAAATGCTTTCGTAACCATGTGCCTGTTTCCCACGGAAGAAAGCCAATCAAGCGGAGTTATCCGGCGCAGATGCAGGGATTCACATTCACGATACAGGCAAAGCGAAAGAACCCGTGGCCCGGCCGATCCCCATGCACACAATGTGGTGGCAGCACACAGGTAAGCAAAACGAATTAGGGGAACAAAAGAAGAAAAGTGAAATAGGGTGCGTCATCTCCGCTTCAGTACAAAGGGCTCCACTGTGGGACTGTTGACGACGGTTTTCCACAACAGGCGCCAGCTGAGCGGATTCCCTTTGTCCCGTCGGAACACGCATCTGCTCCCTCTCGTTCCCTCTCTACTAAACTCTTCCACTTCGACCCACCCCGCCATCACAAGGCCTCGGGTGTCCTTTCCCCGAACCATGATGCTGACGCCTGATGTTCGTTTGTCTTCATGGACATCTTCTGAAACTTGTTGGCCAATAGAAATGAGGAATTGAGCTATCAGAGTGAGCAGTTGAGAGGGCGAGATGGATGCGTAGAAGCGAGTAAGATTCGGAGTGTACTTCATACCGGATTGTGTCTGGGACTGTGTGCGTGTCAGTCTTGACGATATGTAGGGCTGATGACCACGTACGAAGAGCATTAAGCTCTGTGTGAACTGACTCTTCGCTCCACCCATAGCAAATCCATCATCCTCCTCGTCCATGTCAACATCCTCAGCCGGCATTTCGGGCTCTGCCAGTGCCATATCTCCATTCATTTGCAATCCGCGTGTCAGGCGCTGAGCTAAAGCGGTCGGGCCAAGTTGTGGAACTTGACTAGATCGATTGCACCATGGGTGTGCGCGAATCTGTGTTATATTGAGCCTTTTCGTTGGATCGATGGTCAAGATACCGAGAAGCAGGTCTACGCAGAGAATCAGTTCGAGAAGCGGCCACGTGTCTGCCTGGACTCACCGAGTGCATCTCCGTTTATCCGGTTCCATGGATCTTGTCTGAGGATCTCGCCAGTGACGTAGGAAGCAAATTCCGGACTGTGGGTGGTTGGCTCGTCCCACGGGGTGCTGCCGAACAGAAGAGTGAAAAGGACGACACCAGCACCCCAGACATCCACTGGCTCAGCGCGATATGGATCTGGCAGGCTAAGCTGTAAGTCTATGTTAGACAGACAACTCATGGTTGGAATGCAAATCGACACGCACCTCTGGAGCGACATAGGGCAAGCTGCCACATCGTTCGGCGAGCTTGCGTTCTTGCCCCTTGTGCCGCCAGACTGCGCACAACCCAAAATCTGCGACCTTCAAGACACCAGCCCCGGATAGTAACAAATTTTCAGGCTTCAAGTCTCGGTGACAGATGCCTTGACCATGGATGAATGACAAGCCCGATATCAGCTGATTGAAGTAGTGCTGAGCCATATCATGATCAATGCCGACTTCGGGTGCTACAACAAACAATGAGTGAATCATTCTCATATCTCTGATGATTAAGCGCACCAATTTTATCGAAAAGATCTCCACCCGCAGCCAGTTCCATTAACATGTAATATCCCGGGACCCAGCGTGTCTTTCCGTTCTCCTCCACGACGCTCGCTGCCATAAACTCGAGGACGTTGGCATGCTTCAGTATCGAATGGACCTTGATCTCCTTTTCGAGCTCCTTCCTCTGCTGAGGTGTGGTCTGTGGGGTAATCAGAACGACTTTGCATGCTGCTGATGACCGGAGCTCGGCATTGGTCGCACGGAACACACTGGAATGTCGAATAGCATGAGACTGACGTGTGACGCTCGTCTCTCCACAATTCTCACCATGAGAAGCCTCCCCCGGCAATCACACTGCCCAGCTCGTAGCCTGCAATTGGCGGGTATTTTCTATTGGTCGGAGGGGACATAACAATAGAGATTCAAGGAATGGCGTTGTGCAGACAAGTAATGGCACAGTCACGTCACGTCCCTGCTGTCGTTGCCGCGCGAAGTGAATTGCACACGTGACAGTCCAGTCAGGTACTATAATTGCTTCACTTAGTGCATCTACTTTCTTGTTTCAAACAGTAGTACATTGGCTTTAGAACTGAGGAGAAGATTGAAGGTTGGGAAGGAAGAGGACAAAAGGGGAAAATGCGATACCAGGGGCTGAGCCATGGTGCACTAGAATGGGTAGTGCAGCCGTGTTGGATCGAACTCGATATATCTGGGATTCTCCCACACTGCTTTCGATTAGACTACGCACAAGCAGTGGTAAGAAAGCTTACTCTCTGCAGGAAGCATCGACCCGCCAACGAGGCGCTCGGGCTCCGCGCGAACATGTCTTCCCATCCACCAAATGTGCTCAAGCATAGTTTCAGCACTTTTGGCCGACCCTTCTTACAGCATTCCAAAGCCTTCCAGCCAGTGAACAACGGCATACACCCAAAGTCTATGTCCACGAAGACAACCCGTGGATTCTAAGGTGTATCGGTAACGATACAAACCAGAAGCGGCAAGGAGGTTGAGGAAAGTTCCGAAAGTGGTCATGTACCGGAAACCGATTGGACAGCATCGTTGAGCTCCATTCACAATATCATTGGATAAAGCTACCCTGACTTGTCGCCCCTCTGGGCACACCAAAACGAAAACCCATATGTTTGATCGTGAACGGTCCATGGCTTCATGAAACGCAGCATATTCGGCAAGGACGAGAAACACAGAGTCGATCATCGTGTGGTAGAGATCGATGACATGCGGCGAGAGGATCAGGGTTTTGGTGACGTTCGCGGCGAACAACATCGTTTGCTAGCCAACATATAGAGCTGGCAATCTAGGAACGGCCGTTAAAGGATACCGGGCGTGGCTATTTCACCCACAGAGTGGTGTCTGCGGATGATACGGGGAAGTACACATCCTTCTATGCATGAGGCGCGAAGGAAAACTCTAGCGGATAGTGGCTTTCGCTGAGTCTTGAACAGATAGGTGGGAGTGTGCCCTACGTTACGGCACGTAGAGTTTGAGGGGAACACATGCTTCTGTTGTTCTTACCCGGAATGCTAGTCTTGTCACTGAATCGAAATCGGGCCCTGGCTCAACATCCAAACCCCGACACTGTGTCCGGGGTCCAGGCGATGCAATATCTTCGGCAGACCATCGATTCCGCTCTTGTGTCTGATGATCATCAGGCTTCAGTGCGGGATTAGGCGACTGTCTATGAATACTCTGAGACCAGTCTATGCAAATAAAGTAGGATTCGTGTCACGTCCAGCAATTATGCACTTCCTTAGTTCCACCCACGTTTTGGCGCGGATAAGAACCTGATGACAGTAGCGCGCGGAATTCGCCGAGAGCTGCAGGAGTGGGAGTCTTCGTTCACGTATCACCAGGGGAGCGGAAACGATGTCGGCGAATACTGAGAACCTCGCGGCTTCTATCGATTCAAGGCACTGATGAAAAGGCATCCCAAAGCAATGGTGCAAATGAGATGGACATTTCCTGGTGGAATCCAGGGAAGAAGCTGCTGCTACTGTGCTGGAGCTTTGACCGGAAGAATAGACGCCGCAGTCGCGCGAACGCGGGTCAACCAACAGAGAGTCACAATGAGCACAAGTATAGCCTTGGGTGACACATTAAACTTAGCAGATTTGATGCAATAAAATAAATTTTCAGATAGATATCCGCTAGACAATCTAGAAAGGTAAAAGAAATGCTCCAGAGATAGAAATGGCGACAACGAAAGGGACATGTACAGGGGCAACCCGGTATCACACTAGTAAACGGAAGCAAACGCGGCGGCTTCTCGTCATCGACCGTCTCACGGTCAGCGGCTTTAGCCTCCTCACTGTCAACGACAGCGAGCTCACCACCCAACGACGACGAGGACGCATACATCTTGCACTATACATGTCATCATCCTCTCCGCCTCCTCCCCCTTCGTCCTCGTCGTCATCTCATACCAAATTACCTAGATTCATACGACCTCAGCCAGGGCGCGACAGGTCACGTTCGACCGGTACGTACCTCGACACCACCGTCCCGCCTGTTGCACTGTCACCTGGAACGCCATCTGGGAACAATGGTAACTCCCAGACGCCTGGGGCACAAAGCCGTAGTGGAGCACCTAAGAAGCTTGGTCGAGGAATAGGGAAGAAACGGTCGCGACTGTTTGGCCGAGGGTCCGACAACGAGTCCAAGGGGTCGACGTCCTCTGACAGGGACACCGCTGGACCATCTCCACCTCCTTCGAGTTCTAGTCCGTCCTCTTCACCACCAATGATACTGACCACACCGACTTCTCCCCACTCTTCGCACCCATTTGGTCACCGAGTACGCAATTCTTTCCAATCAACCCGCGCACCCTCCTCTTTCGATCCCGGCGTACCGGCAGCCGCAGCTGGTGGAGTGCTATCCTCCAACGCTAGCATTATTTCCACATCGACGGCATTCCATCGATTGTCTGATATACCCGGGCGCTTGACGGGTTGGCTCGGAACTCATTTCACTCCTCCGCCTCCCAATCCGGGTCAACAGGCCCTCTCCTCTTCACCGTCTCATCCGAGTTCTGGAAATTATGGTGCACCGTCCCCCAGTCCATCCCAGCCAGTCTCTGCTAACAACTCAGCGGTCGGGAATCATCGTCATTCTGGATTCATGAAGGGTTCAGCCGCGAAAGCTCCTGGCCCTATCGAGAAAGCATTCCGGTACCTCTTCGACACCGATGCCAACCCGGACAGGAGCGAGATGTCAATTTGGTTACTAGGGGCTACGTACCCAGGTTGGGCCAACAGCGATGTTCAAGTGCCCGATCGCTCTCCATCTCAATCCCCAGTTGGCTCTCAGCATCCAATGCCGCTCCCGATTCCCAGCTCACCGCAGCGGGATCAGCCGACCTTAATGCATGCATCCAACAATTCTCTGTCTTCGTCCAACTCGGGTCTTTACGCTGCCCCCAGTGCATCCTCCACTCCTCCACAGCCACCCCAGCCTGCTTGGCCACCGGCATTCTATGCATCTTTTTCGTCCCTCATCTATCTGACCTACCGTTCGCAATTCAAGCCCATCCCACAATCTCAACCTCCGCTTCCGCCCCCAACCACGATCGATTCAGTCGTCCCCATTTCTATCCCTACTCCTCCGTCTACTGCCCCAAGCGTGCCCGAAAGCCCAAACAGACGATGGCTTGCTTGGGTTCCCGGACGGGGAGATCTTACCTCGGATGCTGGCTGGGGTTGCATGCTTCGCACTGGACAAATGCTCCTTGCCAACTCGTTGGTAGCACTGCATGTTCCCCCATTACCACCGAACCCGGTCTATATCAATAATTTCCCAGCACCTAGCCTTCCGCCGTCCGAGACAGATAGGCAGCGCTTTGAAGCATATGTCAAGATTCTCGTTTGGTTCTTGGATGACCCGAGTATCTGGTGTCCTTTCTCAGTTCATAGGCTAGCCTTGGCTGGGGCAGATATGGGCCGAGAGGTGGGTCAATGGTTCGGTCCCAGCATCGCAGCTGGTAGCATCAAGTGCGTGTTCTTCAAAAAATAATTCTATCTATATTGATCATGTTTGCAGGAAACTTGTCAGCGCTTTCCCAGCCTGCGGGCTTGGCGTCGTTGTCCCACCGGATCAGATCATACACGAGACTGCGGTGTTTACTGCGTCGCATACGCCTACCTTGCCGTCATCGGCATCTTCATTATCCAACACTCGAGACCGAGAAGCCCGTGAAAGAGCGAACCGAATGAAAGAAGAATGGGGCGATCGCGCCGTATTGATCCTCATTGGATTACGGCTTGGTATCGAAGGGGTCACCCCGATATACTATGACAGCGTCAAAGCGCTGTTCACATTCCCTCAAACTGTTGGAATCGCGGGCGGGAGACCGAGCAGCAGTTATTACTTCGTCGGTACACAGGGAGACCATTTGTACGTTCTCCCATGTTGAATCAGTTGGAAGTTCAATTAACTCTACAATTCTAGGTTCTATCTCGACCCTCATAGCACGCGTCCTGCCGTCCCTCTGCGAGTACCGACAGACGGTCCTTATGATGCAACGGGCCAGTTCACGCTGTCGGAAATGAAAACGTTTCATTCCGACAAGGTGCGAAAGATGCATATTTCCGGTCTTGACCCATCCATGTTATGCGGTTTTATTGTCCGGAACGTGGAAGAATGGCGCGATCTGCGTGCCCGAGTGGACGCACTTGCCAAGTCCAAGGGAGGCAAGGCACCCATATTCACCATTGCGGATGCTCCAGCGGCTTGGGAGATGCTAGACAGTGACGACATGAGCGATGTGGGGATGGAGAGCATCTCGAGCGACTCCATGAGCGTAGACCACGAGTTTGACGAACCCGAGCACGACGAGCACGAGTTGACCACTCCGACCGTTGCGCAGCATGCGAAGATACCGTCGGCAGCGGAAGTCGTACTCATCGGCCACCACGGAGAAGAAGACGAGACGATGGATGCGGGACATTTGGAGTCTGGACCATCCACGGCAGGTACAGAGGTGGAGCTGGATGATGAATGGGAAGAGACCCCTGGGTTAAAGAGCCCGACGGCAACCAGCAGCTCCAGCGGAACCGGCGAGCGGGCGGACACGCCCGTGTTGGTGCCCTTTCCTCAAGACCCAAACCCGTCGCCATCGGCGAACAGGCGAGCTTCGTTCGATGCGCTAGGAAGAGATAGGCAAAGGGAACGGGAAACGGCCAAGACGCTTGTTCCGCCATCTAGGACGGCATTCCCCGCTCCTCCGCAGAATGCCCAGAAAAGGTCGGCCTCTAAGGATCAGGCAGAAGTGGGCAATCTTGCCCAGGGGCACGAAACACATCGAGAGAGGGAAAGGCTCACGGCGATTTCCCCCCCTACACAGGCGAGGCAGCATCATCAGCACAAGCACAACAGGCGACCCGAGTCATCGTCCCAGTCGCATTCCCAGTCTCAGGGTGCACCTCCAGCTCAGCAAGCACCTCTCCACGCGCCAACAGCCCCTACGTCCATTCCTCAAAAGCCTCATCCGCGCCTCCCTAAAATCCTGGACCCTCAGCCACAGGCAGAACGGGAAGAATTTTCTTCTCCTGAAGAGCTTACGGCTTCAATGGAGTTTGACACCCCCGTGCGGAAGCCAAGCCCTCGTCAGAGAGAGCAACCCGGGCTTGGAGCAGCGGCGCGATCTGCACAGGAAGCACAAGGGAAAGGAGGGAGGGAGGAATTAGGGCATGCCCCGCCAGAGCAGAGGATGAGGCGGTCGACGACGAGCAGCCAGTGGGAGAAGATCGAAGTTAACTAGGAGGCGAGTATACACCTGTTTGCCTTTTTTTCCCTGAGACTTTGTTACACATTTGTCTTTTTCATTCATGACTTGTAGAAGTATGCGAAGTATTTCTTCTGTGATGCTGTATGGTGTAAAGCACAAATTATACCCCATTGTGTGGAAATGTCTTTGCAAGATTAGAGTTTCTCCACTTAGTTCGCGGAAGTAAATTATCTCCTTGTGACGTTAACTCGGCTCCGAAGTGACAGGGTTCACCCAGTCAAGCAACGTTGCTCTTTCCCTCTCAACGGTCATTCTTCTCCTTTTGCTGTCCATTCCTGATTATCTCTCACCAACTGCTTTGTATATTTGAGAGCTACTTTAGTTAAACAATGGCAGCAGCAGCAGCAACAATAAGGCAACGCACACCGTCAATGGCTACACTGGGCAGGCTAGAACCTAGTCAGCAACCATCGAAATGACCCGAGTCTGTACTTCTAACACCTTGCAATCCAGAGGATGCGAATGATGCTCTATGGAATTTGAATCTTCTTGAAGCGTTACGAAGTGGTGCGCGTGTTCTATATTGCTGCGCTAGACCAGGAGTTCTGGGCTGAACGACAACAAATAGGTGATCCAGGCAAGATCCATCCTTACCTCGCTGACCTCTCCCGACTCGCCAACGCCACCCGCCGTGCTTCCACGTCGCCCAACCCCTCTCCCTCTCATTCCAAGTCAACTCGACCAATTCCCGCTAATGGTGGAGGTAGTGGCAGTGGAAGCGGGAATGGGTCGACCAGTTCGCTGGTGGGTAAGAGTAGGATAAGTGCGGAGAGCGACAGGTCTGGAGGGACCTCTCTGGGTCCAAGCGCCAGCCCACCGGAGAGAGCAGCATACATATTGCATACGGCCATCAGGGTTGCCTCATGTGCGTTATATTGCCTGTTTGATCTTCTAGCTCTGACCTGGAACTATCATGGATGGGTGGAACAGGCCAAACGATCTCCTCCCTGCTCTCCCACAAACAGATCTCCCCAAATATCTACTACCCTCCTTCCCCTTCTCCCCTCCGTACCACTCCGCTTCACCTCGCGGCTCAGCTTGGGCGTGCAGATGTCGTACGCCTCCTGCTGGAGCAAGAAGAGGTGGATGATACGTTGAGAGATGGACATGGGAGGACGGTCGCGGAAGTTGCTGCGAATGCGAGAGTGACGAAGATTTTGAAAGGTGCGTCCCACTTGCTATTTTTCTTCCCTCTTCTCGTTCCTGTCCTGTACATTCTGAGATCTCCCACAGATTCCGTACAAGAGCTTACCGACGCCTACCTCCGTCAAGTTGAAGATTACATCCGCTCAGCAGCAGGCAGCCCACCGCCCACTGGGCTCATACATCTTCTCAAGTCGCAGAGGTCCCACCAACTTGAATTGACAGTGCAGGTTCTGTGCGTCCATGTCCCTTCCCCGGTTTGCGCATCAATTGACAACTGCGTTTGATTTCTGTATCATATCGGATGGTGCTTTGCAGAGGGACGACGATACTCCATGAAGCCTCGCGCCGTGGGCATATCCAAATAATCGAACTTTGCCTCGCGCGAGACGCCGACATCTTCGCGCGCGATTCACGCAACCGTGCTCCCCTTGACGTCGTCCTCGGCCAGGGGAGGGAGAAGGACGCGGTGCGGGCGCTTCTCAGGCAATATACGAACCGGGATTTAAGCCTTGTGAATGAACCCGAGGCAGAGGGAGGGGGTGTCGTGGGGAAGCCTGGCGATTTCAAAGGCTATTTGGTGCGGTCGGCAACCACTCACGCAAGACATTAGGGCTGATAAGGAACAGAACAAGTACGCAAACGTGGCGAAGGGATACTCGACACGCTACTTTGTATTACAAGACGGGACGCTGTCATGTGCGTGTGTTCCCCAGCATCTGTCCAACTCTGACGTCCCTTCCCTCAGACTATCGCAACCAGTCCGACTACCCAACATCATGTCGCGGGTCGATCCACACCTCGATGATCTCGGTCAAGACGTCCTCAACGGACAGACTCCGTCTCGAGATTACCCTCCATCCGCCTTCGACGTCTGGCCTTCCAGGCACGTCGAAACCTGACAACACCACAGGCACAGTGCAGCACTGGTTCCTTCGCGGTGAACACCCCGGAGAGATTGCACGCTGGGCTCAGGTCCTTCGAAGGAACGTCGAATACTACACTTCGCAATCGCGAGACGGCACCGCTGGAGGAAGGCAGGCAAGCAAAGACGTGGGCGAGGCGGGTGGCCCGTTCTTGAGAAAAGGGTTTACGCGGTCGTTGAGCATCACAGGGCTGAGCAGGAAAGTGTCGGCTTCTGGTGGCCATCACGACACCGCCGCTGCAGCACCACGCTCCAGCCCTGCATCCGGCTCGAGGTCAACGAGCAGCGGCACTGTCGTCCCCACTCTTGGTGCGGCAAGTGACGTGCATCGTGCCATGAGCGGTACGAGCTTAAGCGTCTCGGGACTACCTACGGAGCTGCTGGCGGGTAGTGAAAGCAGCGATGCAGACGCCGAGGGGGCCGAGGTTGAAGGGGAGGAGAGCAAGGACCCCCCCTATGCGGAGTGGGAGATGGCAGCTGAAGGCATGGGCATACAGCTCGATGCTCTCAGGCTCGCTCTTCCGCCTCTGGGACTACCCCCTGCTCAAGTAGCTGCCCTGCTCGATGGGCTGAATGCGCTTGGCTCCCTCGCCGCGGGGTGGAGGACACAACAGAAAGCCCGTGAGAAATGGTACGAAAACGAACTTGAAAGAGAAAGGCAGACTCGTAACCTATGGGAAGAGAGTCTTGCCGGCGTTGTTGGCGAAAGCGAGCGGATGGAGCAGGAACTGCAAGTAGCGAGTCGAAGGCTGAGGAGTATGCGCAATCTACGGGCGAGCATGGTGGGAACCGAGACGGGCACGCCTGCAGTTGGACCGGTAATCGCACCCACACTCACCGCCGAGCCGGAGAAGGAACTTCCTCAACCCCCTCAGTTGCTTGAGGAGCCGCTCAGTCTCAGTCTTCCCTCCGCAGGATTGATGGCTCCAGGTACTACCCCAGGCCGACCAGTCTCCGTCGCTGCCCGGACTATGACGACCGACGAGGAAGACGAAGATGATGAATTTTTCGATGCGATTGATTCTGGTCTTTTGCCGCTCACCCTCCCGTCGCCCATTGCCAACCCTACCGCGCTCCCCGAGGAACTTGAGCGACATGTGCTGCTTGACCGTGTATTGTACGCTGGGTACGAACATCCCCGTGCCCGTTTGCCAATCGACGATGACCAGCGGCCGCCTGTCTCCCTCTGGGCCGTGCTCAAGAATAGCATCGGTAAAGATCTCACTCGCATCTCCTTCCCCGTCTTCTTCAACGAACCTACGAGTATGCTGCAGCGTATGGCAGAGGATATGGAATTCTCAGAATGCTGTGCGTGTGAATCTGTTTCTGTGATTATAGGACGTGTCTGACAAATCTGCCGTGGTGGGCTCACAGTGGATGCTGCTGTTCGTGAGAGCGACCCACTCAAGCGTATCGCATTCGTCGCTGCGTTCGCAATGTCCAACTATTCTAGCACTTTGGGTCGTATCGCGAAACCATTCAACCCCATGCTGGTGCGTTCTGATCCGTCTTGCCACATCACGCGATGCTGAATGAGCAATCATTTTGTTTTTCCAGAGCGAGACGTTTGAATACGCATCGTTTGACAAACAATATCGGTATTTCTCCGAGCAGGTCAGCCATCATCCACCCATCAGCGCCTGTTACTGCGAGTCACCGGACTGGCTCTATTATGGAGAAGTTGATGCAAAGAATAAGTTCATGTGCGTCTGCTTCCTCTCCTCTCCTTTTGACATGTAAGACAGACCCTAACAATGGATTGCGTTGCTAGGGGGAGATCATTTGAGATTCGCCCGACTGGTGCCGCTTTCGCGGATCTCATGCTGTCATCAGACAAGGTCGAGCACCCTGACAAATACCCGGTGGAGGAAGTCGACGGCGAGAAACGGTACCGAGAAACATACAGCTGGAAGAAAGTTACTACTAACGTTTCTGGGTTTATCCTTGGCAATGTGACCATCGATCACTCTGGTCTCCTCCGCGTTGTCAACCATCGCACAGGTGACACCTGCGAGCTAACATTCAAACCTCGTGGCTGGCGCGGCACCAACCTTCATGAGATCAAGGGTGCGGTATACGACTCTCGAGGACAACTTGAATGGGAGATTGCGGGACGTTGGAGCAGCCAATTAGTTATGCGCCATGCAGATTCCAGCCTCGAGTTAGGTCCAGACGTCAACGTGCATGGACCGGGTTCGCCTGCCTCGCAGACTGCACCAGAGTATATCCTTCTCTGGCGAAACACACCCAAGCCCCCAGCACCATTCAATCTCACCCCGTATGCGATAACTCTGAACGACCTGCCAAAGAACCCGGAACTCTTGAGAAAGTGGTTGCCCATCACAGACTGTCGCCTTCGTCCAGACCAGAGGGCATTCGAAGAGGGTCGGTACGAGGAAGCAAACGCCCTCAAATCTGATCAGGAAGATTTCCAACGTGCCACACGCCGAGCCAGAGAACGCGGGGAGCTTCCGCCGCACGAACCCCGTTGGTTCACTCCTGACATAGATGAAGACAACGGGGAACGTGTCTGGCGACCAAAGAGAAGAGGTAGCAAAGTTGAATACTGGGCGGAAAGAGAGGAGGCCGGCCTGGCTGGACGTCCTTGGAAGGATGTTGAACAGATCTTCATCGACGTCTAAGAAAGAAGACTGTTTGGTGTTTTGTTCATATGTGTCAGCGCATGGATCAGATATATTAATACATAGTCACTATCATCACTCAAGGATTGGAAGCCTACAGGCGCGATTTTATCAAACCTACGACCGACGCTGGGTCGACAACTGCCTGAGGATAAGGGAAGTTGCCCGATGTCATCTGTGGTGGCATGTGCAGTTCCCCACCATCGACAACCTGTGGGGTGATAGTTAGGAGACCGGCGTCTTTCGAATACGCTGACACCCACAAATTTCTGTCCAGTAATCCAAGCGCCAGCATCACTGAAGAGATAACACGCAATGGACGAGATATCGCTCTTCTCACCCCAACGACCTAGCATCGCCTCGCCCATCTGATCTTCGCCGTCCTTCTTCTTGGATAGCTTATTCATTCCCACAGTGCCCATAATAGCCCCAGGAGCGACAATGTTGCTGCGGACGCCGAAGGGACCGAGCTCCACTGCGATGACCTGTGACAGCGCATCCACAGCGGCTTTCGCCGCAGAAGCATGCGCTTGGTAGATCAAACCTGAAAGAATGACCAATTATTATTATCGGCCAAGAACGCTGCACATAGGGTCGCCTACCTCTGTAGTGGAGAGTCGCCGAAACATGAATGTATGCGCCATGGGTCCTCTTCACATGCTCCATTGTAGCTTTTACGGTATTGTACGTACCCAACTTGCCGGCGGTTAGACACGCACCCAAGATCAATATAAATGAACTTACGGTATCAATGTCGATGACCGTCTTGAAGGCATTTTCGGATAAGGCAGAGATAGGCGCAAGGAAATTCCCAGCGGCCCCTGAAACTCATAAGCACAATTCCCGAGCACATCGTCAGTGTACTTACCACAAATGACGAAATCGATTTTGCCCAACTCCTTTACACCGTTGTCAACTGCCTCCTTAAGCTGCGCCGGGCTGCGGACATCAGCGGAAAAACCGACACACTTCTGCCCGGTCTCCCGAGAAAGGTCGGCAGCACTACTCTCGATCTTCTCCTTCGAACGTGAGATGATTATCGCATCAGCGCCGAGTTGCATCTGCGTGGAACGGATTCATGGCATTATCCAATTCGCAGTTCAGCACAGCGTACCAAGGCTTTGACCATCTCCATCACGATTCCGCTGCCGCCTCCGGTGGCGAGCACCACCTTGCCCTTGAACAAGCCACGCTGGAAGATCTTTGTCGGGTCTGGCACCGGTGGGGGTGGAACACGGTTCGTTGACGACATAATGATACGCCAGGTGGTCGACAATTCAATACAAATGAAAGAGAGTTATTGTCGCCAGCTAACGTTTATAACAGTGTGTAACGGTGATGGACAGCGTCAGAATAATGCAGGACACCGGTTGTCCTTCAACTTGAATAACCGGCCAAAGCACGTGGTTATCAACCACACTGCCACATGTCCGCCGTGCTCTTGGTCATGAAAATTCTGCAAGATGTACCAACAACAAATACAAGAAACAAGCAAGAAAACCATCTCTTCCTCTGTTGAGGACGTGCAGCAGAACAGTGCTGACAATCGCGTTCTTCTATTCGTCACGTGGTCAACCTGTGAGTTGTGCTTCATACTCTTCTTCTCTGATTCCATATGCTGTGCCTTTAGCAACTTTTTCTGCCGAGAGGCGGCACCATGTACTCCGCTTCACCTCCTCCGATCTCCGCCTGGTACGATCGTTCTTACATCCGGGGGCATTGACACTTTATGTTGACGGCCCGGGTCACAATCTCAGCCTTCCTTAAAGTTGCCGAGATGGTGGGAGCGTAACTCAGTCAACGCTTCCCGGAACCCTCTCCGCACTCTCCTCGGTGATAACAAAGCCTACCTGCGGTCTGAAACACAAAGGGCGTGTATTACCCTTACACCACTGGTTCCTGGAGGCGATGCCGACTTCCTCATTGAGACCCGAGCGGTCAAACCAGGTACGGCCTGCCAAAGGTTCGATCGACATAACAAATCTCGATCGGCCACCCACCGACAGCTCGCCGGTTCTGTATCTTTTCGCGGATGAAGGCATGCGTTCTCATCGTCTCGACAGGGGGCACCTGCGACATTCCCACCAGTCAAGAGGGTTTCGCTCAAATCCAGCCATGCATTCAGCTGGCATTGTTGGGAGATGCACGAACACCACGCGAACACGAGCCGCTGACATGAGCTAGTCCAGCATGTCATGATTGAGCCATGTACGATTGAAAATTCGAGAGGCTGAATAGTTTCTGCCACTTTGCCACAAGGTGTCTTGCAGTGCATTGATGTTACGAACCAGGCGTGGGAGACCAGAAACCTCTCAGGACAGTCACGCAACACCATCAGCAAACTTAGCTCATCCACAACTTGACCAAAACGCTCGCGGGTGCGCTAACCGCAGAATTGTTGCGATGCCCGATCTTCTTGACACGTTTTCTAGATACACCCGAACATTCCCGCAATATCGTAGTGGTTCTTTGCTCGTTTGGTTCTGGTCGAGAAGATACTTTGTGCTCCTCAGGAATCTTTCTACTCATTGTTCACAGTCCTTCTATGGTCGAGGCCAGCATCGCTTCACATTTTACCCGGCACATCTCCTCACACAGTAGCACACGACCTGATTAAATCAGCAGTAGCAACGGGGTCATGCGACTTCAGATCGAGAAGAACCAGTCTCCATCGCATGGTCTATGTTTATGCTACAACCCGGGCTTGCGCAGCTCAAGGAACATTCCCTGAGGTAATGACAACGATCGCCTTCAATTCTTTCGACCCCGTCTTGCAGCAAATGTGATAGCCTGTATCACTCACCGATGCCAAGGCTGTGTGAGTCAGAAATGGGACTCGCCCTATTGATTATTGATTCGTTCTAAGCCTTCAGGACCCCAAGTCCTTTGGCGAGCAAAAAACAAAAACAAAAACAAAACCTCAACGCTCTGCAGCAAGAGCGAAGGAGGTTCTGACATCAGTGGAGAGCAGCCCAAAACACGCCCTTGATGTCCTGGCCACCTCGACCCTTTTTCGGGTTGTACCTTTGGTGTGTGTGACATCGCTTGTCGACAACCCGACACAAGATTCGGCACTGAGATCCTACCTCTGATGGTCATGAGCACTCGCATTTAAGCCACGAGACCGTGAGAAACACCTCGGCAGGGATAATATTCCATTAATTTCCCGTGGTATGTTGGACATGCAGATATTCACGGCCAGACAATTGCTTGATTTGTTACGCAAACCTTGTCATTGCCGCTTTTGGAACTCCACTTTCCGTAGAGGACATGTTGTCGGATTCCAACCGGCTGAACCCCTGATCTAAGCGAAGCCTAGCACCATAATCTTACAGTTTCCAGCCCCACATCTGAGATCCACTGTGTCTTGAGGCAATGGAAATTCTATTATCCGTTATCTAATCATCCTCTGTCTGGCGATCGGGCCTACTTGACAAGTAACACCCTCCTTCACGTGTTTCTTGACCACTGTCGTTAGCTCCTGTCGTCTTGAATACGGTCACTCCTTCATTGCATCATTGGACCCTGATCTGTCTGTTGTGCAGACAGCTTTTGACGTCACAGTGCAGAAGACGTAAGAAAGACATTTCGCCGCGAATAGACAGATTTGGAAATTTCCCGATAGGAAAGGCGCACGAGACATGCGGATTCGGCGCGGGGGTCCACCAATACCTCCACCTATATTCCGAGGTCCATCCACATCCCGCCCTGTGGCTTGCAGGAAGGTCTCGGTCCCTTGAGAGAGTGGCGCAATTTTTTAGGGACTGTAAGGAATGCTCGGACCAATGGAAGCAGTGTGAGATAAGTCTGAAGCGCGTATTTCTTTTCTTTTCGTGCGAGCGCTCAAATTCCATCAGGACCTCCCTGAGGGATCTCAGACAGGGGTACCGGAGGGTATCTCAGCAAGCCCCAACGGAAGTAGCCAAACGGGCAAGTTGACGACGTAGACGGTTCTCGCAGCGTCGGCGAACGGAGTTGGAGCCCGCCGGGGCGAGAAGACACGATCGGCCTCGTGCAGCTCTTTCCGTGCAAGTTGCCCGATGTGGCCAAAGGCTGTATCTGGTGACGTGCACAGCATTGCCTAAAGGGGGCAGTTACTCTTGGTCAAGGATGGCGGGGTGGCTCTCGGTGCGACACGTCCCGTCGGTCCGCCAATGCCGACAGGGGCCGGTTGGCGTGATTTGGCACCATTTCTCGGGCGCCATTTACTTCCTTGCTTCTTTCGCCCAAGAAGCGTGCCCTGCCGCCGGCACAGCGAGTATGATTATGGGTCGAAGCGGCTCAGACCGACCTGGACCCCAGATGCACCGTGGGCGGGATTCCCAAACCAAGCGCATTCCGCTGCCAACCCCTTTGCGCAGGGTTGCGGAAGGAGACTGCCTGTGAGTCTTCCACTTTCTGGTCTCTGGCATCTCCTGTCTGTTTTCTAAGCAACGTGCTAAGCGATCGAGGGCGGCCCGAACGATAATGGAAGTCGATGATCGAAAGTGCTGGATTCTGGAGGCCTCTGTGACGGAAAGGCGACGGTTCAGAGCTCTTCTTGGCGAGAAAGACCCCGAAAGATGTTTCCCTCAGTCCGGACTCAAATGTCTGCCGCGTGAGTGAGTGGTGGTGCGTTCAGCGATGCCCCCCCGTACAGCTATAACCGTCTTATTAGTCACAAAACACTGACAATGATCGAAGATAAAGTCAGCATGCTGACGTGAAACAGGGCGTGTTTCATTACCAAGAGGCCAGGTGGGATGACGTTGAAGTGGTGGTCGTTCAGAGAGAAGCAACGCCTAGCGCTCTTTGTGACCGGAGTCAAACTTGGTTGCTGTGGCATTTGTATCCGCTTCCCTTGGTGTTCGATCAAGCTAGGACGGGTGGGCGGTGGGGACAGCGCTGGGCCCCCCGACGGGCTTGTATAAGCGTGGTCGGCCATCTCTCTCACCCTCTGTCAGCATGCCCGAGCCAACCCAAATCCGTGCCTCCCAGGAAGGCAGACGAGAATCTAGCATCCAGCTTGGTGATTGGCTATATCTCCAGGGAAGTACTATCCTCCCCGGTCCCAATGCAGGCCAACAGCCGTGATTGGGCAGCAGGCGGAGCCCGTCTTAACATCTCACGGCTCGCGAGGGCGGGACGCGGTGAGGAAGCTGACCAAGGGACCGCACAACCAGTGAACTTGATGGAGGCTCTGCGTCGGGGCCCATTTTTCCTTCTAACCACGCGTGCATGGCTGTGCGGAATCAAAAAAACAGAAAAATCTCGAGGAGTGTGGGGGTCCCATCGAGGCTGTGACGAAGGAACCGGTAAAAGGAAGTTGGGGGGAGGAGGAAACCGACAGGGTGCTGCGACGAAGCAAGGAAACAAGAAGTGTGGCGAGACTAAACGGGATTACTCCCTTCGTCCATCCCTCAGGCATCGCACCAAGGCATGCACGGCCGTGGGACCATTAGCGTGATGCTTCTTCTCCAGGGCAGGCCCAGTCCGAGACTGAGGCAACCAAAGGGTTCGCGAACCGATTGCAACCTGGTCCGGCACGCGCCAACCCGAGGGAGCGATGGAACACACCTCACACACCTCGCTCGGAAACATGGGCAAATATGAACCATCCCTCATTCCCCCTTTCCTGCGTCCCTCTTCTCACCTAGCAAGCCCAAAAATAATAAAGGGTCGGCCTCTCCGGCGCTCCGCAACCCTTCAAACTCGCATCCCCTGCCTGGTTGTTGTTCGCCATCTCCCCGACCAGCCGGTGTCTCGCACTTACAACTCAAGCTTACAATTGTGCAGAGCTCCACCAAACCTCCGGGCTGCTCATCTAACACCTGGCGCCGTGCCCGGTACACATAAAACCCGTTCTCCCCGAGCGCCTGATCAAGCCCGAACCTGCTATTGTTACCTTCTGGTCCCTTGCCCCTTCCCCCCCTCCCGCAGGTACAGACTAGCCCATTCAGCGCAAGTGTCACTCCGGACACACTCTTCAATTCCCTTTAACCCCCCAATATCCAGCAACGCTGGATTCACTCAGCGAATTCGCGTCTCCGGTTTCCGTGCTTGGTGGCCCGTACATCAGCACTGCTACTTTCCTATCCTGCGAACCCGACAACCTATCTTCAACAGACCTAGGCACTGTCACTCCCCAAAAGTTTCCGGTTAACCCCCTTCTTCCCCTTTCCTCTTTTCCGCCACTCAACCCCGACCGCCTTTCGCGCCCGACCACCCTCCCAACCATCGGTGTTCGAATCCGCCCCTCGAACCCACTTTTCCAATACTCGATGGCACGACCTGAGGAACAGGCTACCGAAGGCGGCACACAATCCGCATGGCCCGCCACCGAGGCATCCGCGGTACCGCTGAAGGGTAACGTGGTGCCAACCCCAGTCCCCTTGCCCTCCAAGTCGGGATCAACCATCAGTCCTACAATGGACGAAACAGAGCACTCAAGTGCAGAGGCTGAGGAGGAGGATGAGATGATGCTGGAGGATACTATTGAGGGTGATGGTGAAGTTGTGGAGAACGGTGGAGATGCATTTGCCAGGCTGCCAGAGACTGCGACGGAGGGTGAGTTACCATTTCAGGCAATGTTAGGAAACGGCCTATGCTAAAGATTTGCGATGTTCAGAGGAGCAGTACCAAGCCCTGACGCAACAGTCTCTGAACGCTGATGGTACCCCGAAGCGCCCTATGAATGCGTTCATGATTTGGGGACGGAGACGGAGACCCCAGTTGGCTGATCAGCATCCGATGCTGAGAACTGGCGACATCAGCAAGTTGATGAGCGATGAGTGGTCCTCCATGCCGAAGGTTTAAAATTCCGCCACTTCTGAATGTCGCATTTTCTGACTATGAACATCATCTAGGAAGAGAAAGAGCATTATCAAAACATGGCCAAGCGGTTAAAAGATGCCTTCAACATTCGGTGGCCCCAGTATGTGTACAAGCGACGTCCCAACAATTCGCGACGAAAGCGGAAGAAGGTTCCCGAGACTGGGGCGGTGGATCCAAGGATGATAGACACTTCACGCGGTGGTATACAAAAACGTGGTTCGTTCAGTTCAGTGGGAACAATCTCAAACATCACGACTTTCTCGTCGAGACCTTCGACAGCAAGAAGTATGTCTGGGCAATCGGAGTCCCCGCCCACGACTGCCAGCTCAAGAGTCTCTGCTGGTCACATCCCAGCCATCAGTTCTCAGAGTGGCTCGCGGGCCGTTCCAGCGGCGTACAGCGGCTACGCAAGGGCGGAAGGAAGCGCCCCAAGCTCTTGGTCCTGGCAGTCCAGTTCGGCCGTTCAACACGATTTGCCTGTCCCATCATCAACATCTGCCCCCATACCGAGCATGAGACGGCAGTCATCCCAGCACAGTGTTTCTGGTGTGTCTTCCAGCGGGCCACCTCAGTTCAAACACGAAGAAGAAGAAGAGGTTGTATATCGCTCCGCGAATTCACCGGAAACGGAGCATATGTGGCACGGAAGTGGAGTGTCTCGTAGCTTCAACCTCAGCGATTTCCAGCCACAACAGCGGGGAGAGTTCAACATGACCGACTTCCAGTCTCGTGACAATATGGCCAGTGATCCCAATTGGATATCGCAATTCCAGATGTCATCATCTTACGGCATGTCTGGCTCTCACAATGCAGCATCAGAGAGTCGATCGTACGCAAGCAGCCAATCTATGCCTCTTCCAGGCTTTCCTGGTGGTTCACGTGGATCATTTTCATCCCTGAACGCAATTCACACCTTCGGCGCAAGCACTTCAAGTTCGCAGGAACGTTTTGCCGGTGGTTCGGCCGGCGCGTCTGCCTCCCCGGGACTCGAGACATCGAGCAGGACTGGGTATTCTTTCTCCGGCATGAACGGGTCTTTCACGGCTGCTAGTAGTACAAGCTCCGTAACTCCTCCGGCCGACCAACCTCGCTCAAATTACTTCAACGGCACTGGCTTCGGAACAGCGGTCCCGCAGGCTCGGTCCAACGTACTTAGCATTCCTCAGCAGGGTCATACAGACGAGAGGGCGGCCGGAGGATATTGGTCTCCGCACGGCGAGCAGCCTCGCTGATCTCACGACTTATCTAAATACCATCGCCTATCAAAAGTCTTATGCCAGCATATCAGTCCTGAACGCAACTCAGCAGCCGAGGATGTATATTGTATCCAGACATGTGGAACCCCACGTAGGAAGGATGGAACGTGCTTCTTTAATAGAGCGTTGTACCGGCATATCTACAGTACATGCTTCAGAACATCCATTCAGTCGGTAGTTACTCTTGTTGTGCAATGATGTCTCAATAGTTCACATATACATCCGTTTGTTTTGTTAGCCATGCTGGAATTCGATTCGTGTTTTCTGACATTGGTGTACTTTGGCGTGAGTGAAAGTACCCTCCAATAGGTACTTGCGGGTTCAAGTACGCGCAAGTCCCTTTGCCTCAGCCTGCAATGCAGCGTTGTTATGATGACAACATTGATTGAAACATCCAACGGATGGAAGGAAGACACGTGGGTCTTATTTGAAGAGGCCCGTAGCAGAGCAGTGGATAGCCATACCATATGAGACTTCAACGCACGATATAAGGACAGCCTAACTCTAAACCCTTCTTCTTCACTTTGCCGTCCCTTCCATCCCTTCCGACACGCTCCCCAACCACAACAAGCACATTACTGTCGTCTGCCAAAAAAGGCTCTGCCACATGTTTTCAAAATCTCCCACATGATTGTATCACTGACACGCGTTAATATTGATGCTGCTGCGGTGTTCTGGACTAACGCATATGATAGGACTGCAATGGTTGGGAAATTGTGGCCAATCAAAACATGCACTCAGCTTATGCTTACATTGTGCGGGTAGAAAATATGCCGCGGCAGGACAGTGTATGTACATGTAAACTGTGAGGAACTGCAGGTCATCAGGAAGAAAAACAGTCCCGTGAATGCAGTCCCACAAATATCTCAGGTAATCTAACATGGTGAACACCCGATCATGCAGTAGTCTCGTTAGGTGCATTCTCCGCGAAAGGCTCCCTCCCGTCCACCAGCTGGGGCATGGCCTCCACCTCGTGCTCATATATTTCTACGGTCATGAAATCTGTCGCGCAGACAGCCCTGCCGGATCCCCATGCTGCACTCGCTTGATCTTCTAGCTCCGTCATAACTCGCAGTCGTCCCTGCGACATTGGTGTTACATGCGGTGGTCGTCCTGGTGCTTGAAATCTAAGTAGGCATTAGCAACTGCTCAGCAGGCTGTGGCAAGTAATTGAAATGGAAAAAATAGGGAGATGCCAAGAACGGCACGAAACAGAAGCAAGCATAGATGGCAAAGCCAACTTGATTTGTGCTGGTGCGCAGCTGCCCACAAATGGCAAATGATGGGGACAAGGTTCCTCTTTAATTTTGATGGCATCTGCATCGACAGAACGCGGTCCAGGACACAGACGGTCGGTAGAGTTCGCACCCTATGCTGGGTGCTCAAGGACTGCAGTCCATGAGAAGATTCGAGTCTCAGGGCGCTCATCAGAGCCTCCCAAAATAGCCTCAAATGTGATGGCAAAGGAGCGGATCCTCGGACAGGAAAAGCCGGAAGCCGAGTCGTAAATTGATTAATAAGCACATCAGAGAAAGCGTCCAAAACAGCGTGTGACATAGACAATAGCGGTAACGAACGCTGTGCTTCTCATCTGCACCTCGGAGATGCGCGGAACTCAATCTGGAGTTGCGATATCGGCCGGAAGATGTCCAGTGATCCGTATACGGGTTCCAAGTCCGATGCAGCAGGCGGGGTCGGCCATCCGAAGCATGGAGAGTCGCCCGGAGTCATAGAATTCTGTTATTTTCCGGGGAACCTTATCCCGAAGATCTGTCCAAGCCAAAGCGCCACATCCCAGGTACGGGATCGAGCATGGTTAGGCTGTTTCACCGATCCATGGTGATCCCAGCGAGCCGATACCGATTTGCAGGGACAAAATGAACGAATAAGGAAACCGGAAGAAGAACGAACCTCAACCCAAAGTGATTCATGAATAATCTTCGAGCACCGCACATCTTCGCGCATGCGCCCGCCATATCGGGCGTCGAGTGTCCTCTCGAAATAGCCTTTTCACGCATCTTTTCTGCTGTTGTTCGATCACCGCCCATAAATGGATCCACCTGATCAAAAAGTCAGACATCGACCGGAGAGCGCAAAGAAAAGGCACCCACTTCCACACGGATATACGCGTTTGTACATTCGTGTACAAGCAAGCTCACACCCTTCTCGCGGTCGAGGAGCGGCAGACAGCCGGTCGCATCACTGCAGTCTCCCAGTATCAGTAATCGTCTCCCTTCGACAGCTTGTTCCGGCGGTCTTAGGGTGGTTCCGTCCGGTAAGCTGATGACCTGTGTATCTTTGGTGATATGTTTAAGGAGTGCTCGCGGATTTTTTATGCCCTGTTCTGCTAGCGCATCGGCATTCGCGTCAAGGGCGGTGAGATACTCTTGCGGTATTGGGAGTGGTTGAGGTGGCTCGCAGAAATAGTAACCTAGTGATGCGACGCGGTGTGTTATACGAGCCGCGGAGACGTTGACACCCCCGAATACATCGATATTGCGCCAGGTACCGTCAGAATCAGCAACGATATTCAACCCACAGGCTTCGGACGGATGTAGACATTCAGACTTCAAAATAGTCAGTCGCAATCTAGAACTGGGATGCTGGACACACATCGCATGGCGCGGAGGGCTGCTCAGAAGGAAGGAGGAGCTCGTGTACTGCGTATTTGCCGTCCAGGACCGTTTGAGAAAGCGAAAGCTGCGTTCGTAACAGGAGCCGCAGTCCCGGAGGAGCGAAAAACTGGATCCTTGGCTAGAATACACTCAGTCAAGCTAGCGTTGGACTGGCATGCAGTGCACCTTAGTATAGTCGATGTTGACGCCAGGTGGCTTAGCCAGCGTGGACATCATATTCGATAAAAAGGGTGCGATGCCGGAGATATGGTCGACTATATGCAGAAAAATCAACACAGTTCTCCACATAAAATCCACAAACGCACGATGCATATGCGTAACATAGATCCTGTCAATCTTTCCCCATACTCGTTGTCCGCTTTGTAGAAGCTGCCTTTGCGTGCCCTCCGCACAGTCTACAACTGTTGGGATATGTGAGACATGTATCACTCGGGTGAAATGACAGGATACGGACGACTCATGCTTCCATTGAGGTTAAGCAGGATGGATGATGTGTTGCGGGTATGAGAGGGCCCCGATCCAGCGGACGTGCCCAGGAACGTGACGGCGAACGGCGACGGCATCCCACTGTGCACGAGGTGTCAGCGGACGCACAGGGTGCAGAGTAGGAGGTGTGCGCACCGCTCCCTCTGCTTATCCTGGTCACGAGCACGTACTCTGGTGATAGGCTTTCTAGAATAGTCGACTACGACAGGAAGGGGGAAGAACGCAGGTCGACGGAGCAGTGCCTGCTGGCAAAGGACGAGCGAACGCTTCAGCTTGGCAACTTATATACGAGTAAATGGTAAGCGAGCTGTCAGCGACCAGAACGTCTTCGAGTAACGGTTCTTATGGTAGATGCACAGGTGCTGAATGGAGATGGTCGACAAGGGGCTGCTGGTCGCCGATGTTGTCTGTCAGAAGCGCGGAGACGACCTCAAATATTATCCACGCATCGTCGGGGAAGCCGCAACAGTACTCCAAGGGATCGATGACAAATCATCATCGGGTGCTTTCTTATCCAAATCCGGTCTTTTCACAGTCACGTGAATGTGCTGGACCTTTTTAGTTCTGGCCAATGGCTCCAACAGTTGAGCAATAATATTTTCATTTTCCTCTCAACATTTCTTCACCAAGTCTCGTGCATCAGCTCTCCTAGATGTTCGTAAACCGCGTTCGCCAAGGGCGCCTCTCTTGACGGGGAATCACCCTTTGTCACCTTGCCCGAACTCACACATCCGCGGTGTTATGTCGAGTTGGGCTAAACAACGGCGGGTCTGCGCATTGTGCCTCAAGGCAGGGGCATGTCTCTTGAACTCCGAAATCCTATGGACAGCAATCCGACGCACACACGAAGAGTCCCTGCCGGCAGAGTTTCGTTTCACAGTGCATGGTTCTCTCCGAAGATCTCAATATTCGAGTGTTTGCCTCTCAAACAGCCGGTATTCTGTTTGCGTCTATTTGAAAAGAACATCACAACTCGTGCCATGCCAAAGTTGCTGTCACCCTCACTCGTGCGTAGCCCTGGTGCGTATAGTACTGTATAGGCTCACGGTACTCACGTGCAGATGACGCCTTCTTGTACCTATGTCTTGAATAAGTGTTCATGCCCCGGGAACCAGTTTGAAGAACTCTTGCTCAGAAACTCATGCCATTGCTCAACTCCTGTTCGACAGGGCGAAGCGAATATACATAATCCTGACAACAACGTGTAATCGTTCCTGAACATCGCCGCATTCCCCATACACGCAAGCGTTGTCGGAACGAGTGAGTGTTCGGTCAGGATACACTTCTGATTTGTATCGCCTGAGGCAGAGCTAAGGACTATTCCTACCTTAGCGATAACAATAATATTGAATTCGTTCGAAGGCAAAGCAATCTGAGGTATATGACGTATCTCATTTGGTCCATCGATCTATGGGTTCCAGAACTTCCGGGGAGAACTTGAACCATCATTCCCCACCCCATACAGATTAGCGCGATGAACAAGTTCGGCACGAGCAATCTTGCCAGCAACATGATATCATGCAGCCAAGTCTGCGCAGAGTTCCAAGCGATTCGTGATCAGGAACGCAGATGACGGCTCCGCGGCTTGTCTTGAGCAGGGTGCAACTCGAGAAGAGGAAATAACATGAGTATTCCATTCGATATACGACTATATCGTGCACAGTGAGACAGAGTGCGGCCAGCTCTAACCGTTTGTTCTGTACTTGATCGAAGTCATCATACGAATCAGAAGGTCAGGGTCAAAGCATGCGCACCGCTTGTCTCAGGGATGTACCCCACAATCCGCATTTGCTGCACATGTTGATTCACATCTAACGTGTCATTCACTGCCGCGGCCGGCACGGAGTAGAAGCTCCTCCCTCAAAACGTGCCTTGCCGAAGAGTGGCCTGTCGCCTAGGTCACGACTCGTCATCACTAGTGATGGAAAGACGTACTGTCGTCCGATTTGCGACTCATGAGCTTACCCGAATTTATGCCCAATTCTCCCCTACTCTTGTTGAAGGACCAACTAATGTGCATAAATTGTCCGAATTACGGGCGTGGGAACCGCTGGCGAGAGCGGGACACGAAAGCAGGGTGAAGACGGCGAGTGAGGGAAGTCCTATTGCAAACGTCACTTTTCCGCATTCACGTCCAGCATGCTGCTGACATGCGCCAGGACTTGCTGGCGTTCGGTATAATTCATTTTCTGGCGCCGGTCTGTCGGCGATCTCTCATGGAACACCGATTATTTGGGTGATTGGGGCCCAATCCCTGGTTTGTAGCGTCAGAGACCACAGACCACAGACCATCTTGTACGAGAAAAAAATTCACGTAGGCGCTTCGTGCCTCGTGTATTTGATAGCGCGTTGGGTTTCCTTGAATTTCCGAGTTCTCGGGTCCTCCTCCCCCGATCCCTTCGTGCTTCCCCCAAATATAGAACACAGCCGTAGGCCATCTCGTCCAATGACGTGTCTGGTTGAGAAGATACGTCAAACGCCTCGCGAGATCCCTCGATACGTGCACCATGACAGTGATGTTCATTTTTGGGGGCGTTCTGAGGTTTATGGCCCAGTTCTTTCCATGATCTGGTGGTAAGATCGCCGCTCGCAAAAAGAACACAGCAGAAATGAGCTCGAAGAGCATGTTCCCTTCAAGCGCCTCAGCCGATTTGGATCATTTTGCCCGCTCTAAAATCTTCCTCTCTGGGCTAAAAAGCGGCCAGGAATGGTCGTGTGTTCGCCCAACACAGTGCAACTTCAGCAGAGGTCTGTCGGCCTTGATTGCCCCATATGTATCCCGCTCCGGTGCAGCCAGCAGTCCCACACCCACTTGCTCACACACTCGGGTTCGAAATCGAGTTCCTCATCCAGTCCGACCTTCAGCTGTTCACCCTTCAACAGGAAGTCGCGCACGTGATCAACACGACCGGTCTCGCACGAGCGCGGCCACAGCAAGAGGACGCCCATCCCGGAACAGGCGTCTGGCTTGTAGGGCGGGACTCGAGTATCACGGGTGGGAGGGGAGAGCAAGGGATCGAGATTATCACCGGCGTTTACTGGGACGTGCCAGGACTCGAGGGGGCGACGAACGGATGGAGGAATGTCCTCCGTGGTGTGTTCGCGGCGCTGCAGAGATATTACAAGCAGCGCATGAAAACGAGCAAGAGCGCGGCGTTGCACGTGCATGTGGGAGTTGGGGTTGGGAAGGGCGTTCACTGGGAGTTTGAGGATGCGAAGAGGCTGGCGTATGTCGTGACGCTGATGGAGGCGCAGCTCGACATGTTTCACTCTGAGGAGCGGCGAAATCCCCCGGATGCCATGGGGAGGGCGCACATGGACCAGTGGATCCACTCGCTTCGCTATTCACCGGTATTGGCGCAACTGTCCAACGAACAAGTGGCGGAACGCATCGCTGTATGCAAGGACTGGGAGCCGCTGCTGCTGACGGTGCAGGCTGACTGGGAGGGGGTGCGGCCGTGGCGGCGAGGGTATCGGGTGAACTTTCTGAGTTTGGAGAAGTACGGAACGGTCGAATTTCGGCAGCATGCGTGTTCGATAGACGGCGACGAGATGGTCGATTGGGGGTTCTTGTTGTTGAGGATATGTAGATGGGTGAGGATCACGAGCGAGGGGACGATTCGGGATATGTGTGTTCGGGGAAGGGTGAAGCTCGTAGATCTGTTCCCGCCGACCACGACGGCGGGGTACGTGGATTGGAGGGGGATGGAATTGGTGAGACAGGTTATAGAACCCCCGCCAGGGCGCCTGCCAAAACGCCGCAAGGTGACCGTGGAGGAGGTGAATAGAGAGTGCATGGTCTCTTGAAACGGACAGCAGGTTCCAGGTCTAGATTCAAGCATATGCCAGCGGGTTTATATTCATTAGATTGTAGAGTGGTCATAGACATCCTTCAGACAGCACTAAGTGAGCTTCGTAGACTAGCGGCAAGAATCGCAGGTGAAGCCTCAGCGAGAGCACAGAGAGCAAATGATAACCTGAGAAATCACTGTAAGAGCAGCACAGGCCAATCAAACCCAGTATTACAACGGAGTAGAGAGCGGGGGCGCGGCCGTCTTCACGAGCAACTTGAACACCACGCGGACAGCAAGAATTCCAGCAGGAACGTCGTCAGGGGTTGGGTGACGTTACATTTCAGAAATACAGTTCCAGGAGTGAGCAGCATATTAAGCGTTGGGCAAGATTAATCTTGCCGAACGCTTAATATTGGAATGAGACAGAACTGATATTGGAGACGGCGACTGCCGCAGTGGAAGAGCAAACAAAGAGTGTTGTTGGATTGTTTGGATGGCGTAGAAGCAGCCACAGGCACAGTCTAGGCAAGAAGTGATAATAAACGCGTGGTAAGAAGGTGAGTGTGTGACTGACTGTGTGAGTATGAGAAGGTAAGCGTGTGAAAGAAAGAAAGTAAATGAGGCATCAGGCGACATGAGTTGAGTAATGTACTGGACACCCACGTGCAGTCTGCACGAGTGGCCCTGCTGGCAGAGAAGAGAAATTCGTATTGAATAGAAATAAATAGAATTAACACGGACAATAAAAAAAGAAATTAGAATGGAATGAGGAAACCCATCTGATTGTCAGACTGCAAATTGGTATGTAACAATCAGTCCATGCGGCAGTGAAGCTTGTTCGTTTCTAGATTGTCACACTGGAACGCGTCCAACGTCGAGCACAACGGCGACGACGACGACAACGACGCAGACGTCATCCTCGTCATCCTCTCGTACTGAAAAGCCCCACCGTGCCTGACAGCGACGACGATCCACTGTGACTGATCGAAACCGGCGGCAACTGAGTAGAACTATCGGCCCGTTGCGCGGCGAGAAGCGGACACCATCGTCTAAGAGAAGCAGACATCGAGCACGCGCAGAAAAGCGGCGAGAAGGAAGCGCTCGTCGACGAGGAATACGTTGAACACGGCTTGCAACCCGTGTTGACGACGAACGTACTTCTGCACCAGTCATTCCCATCGACGCTTTTCGGCTTGCGGCATTGGGTACACCGGTGGACGATAGCGTCGGACGCCAGAGTACCGTCCTGCTCATCGTCTATCACCCGCCGTCCTACTTTCCTTTCTCGCACCTCACCATCCTCACGCCAGCCAACGCCCTCACCCATACCACGCCCCGCCAGCCAAGTGCTCGATAACCCACACAAGGCAGGCTGTCCAGTGTTGCGCACGGACCTCGTATCACACGCCCATCCCCATCGGGCACGGTATCACGCATCGACCCAGATACGCGACCAACCGTTTCGTACAGGTAGAGGAAGCCTCGTGTACGACCGGGCTGGGCGCGGGCACGCGGTGCTCGTTGCACTCACGCAACAACCAGCATCTTCTGAGCTGTGACTGCGAATTGTGCATACAAGGTCCGTCTCTTATTTGCCTCAACTTGTACACTGGAGTAACTTATCACTCCTACTTGTGTAGAAGACATCGGCAGCGCACTGGACCGCAGAAGGCACATCCCTGCACAGCTGCAGAGTCGAAGATCACCGTATATTTGACCACATTCTATTTGATCCCCCATCGTGTCGTGCTGAACGACTCCTCTCAGCCGACACTCACGCACACTGGCTCATTCTGCCTCACCTTCTCGCTCCCCACGATGGACGCCACTCAACTCGCTCGCTGGACGCGCTTCGCAGCAAAGGGCGGCATCGGGCGTGGTACAGCCCTGAGAGACTGCGTTGCAGAGGGGCCTGAGGACCTCATGTTCATGCAGGGGGACGAGGTGGTCGTTTTGATGAGTGTGGCTGAGGGCAAGTATCTGGTGCGTCTCCTGCTTCTATTTCTTCGCTTCCTTGCTGGTTCACTTCTGTCACTATTCTTTGTGCGCTTCCTCCTTCTGCTATCGAGCCGTATAAGCTTCTACGTGTAACAATGCTGACTCATATTCAGGGCTACTGTGAAGGCGTCGTCGGCCACTTCCAGATGACCGACGTGAACCTACACGGCAAGCTCAAAAAAGCAATCTTCACACGTCGCTCTACCTCCCAACCCCGCTCCTCAACATCCGCTTCAGCACATGGGGGAAACACGACTACTCCTTCCCCTGGAGCAGGAGTAAAAGACCTGCCAATATCACCGGAGGTGTGGAGGGAGCATTTGCCGGGCTTTGCCGCTGCGCAGGCGGAAGCGCTGAGGGGCACACCAGAAAGTCGTCGATCTTTGCCGGCCCCTTCTCTGAGCGGTGCGCGGGGGAGGTCGCCCTCCCCTGCCAGGAGCATACGATCGAATAACTCGGCGCAACATCTCTCCCATCAGCCTGCACCACGTTCTCAGCTGCCACAACCAACTCCATCACCTGCAGGCTCGGGTCGCTCCGGTTCACAAGCAACACCCTCGCCTGCTCCTGTACGGGCAACATGGCAGCCTTATCCTACGCCCTCGCCTGTTCCTACTCGGCCAAGTTCCCAGCCCCCACCAGCTCCTTCCCCAGCGACTAGTCGTCATTCTCGCGCAGCGTCATCCGCGTCAAACCACACACCTTCACCCTCATCCACAGCTCGCGCTGCATCGCATTCGATACCGTCACCTTTACACTCTACACCATCTTCCTCCCGCCCTACCCCGTCCCCCTTTTCTCATCGGACGCCTTCACCTTCCCACCTTGCGGTGTCGTCTTCCCATTCCGTCGCCGCTATCTCACATCCCACCCCGTCTTACCATCGCCACACGACTTCTCAATCTACCTTCGCATATATCCGCCCCACACCTGTCTCTGCACATCCGCCTACTACTCCAGCATCCGCAGGAGCAGCGGCATCCAGCTCTGCCAACACTACCCTCAGCTTCTCCAGCACCCCTCCGACCAGCAGCACTCCGCCCACGACAGCAAGCGAAGCCGGCACACCGGAGAAAGATCCGTCGGCCCGTTCCTCCGCCCTGCCTAGTGTGCCTGTGGGAAGAGAGGAGCGTTTGAGCGAGGTGTTTGGGTTGGGGCTGGGACTGGGACTGGGACTGGGAGTGCGAGCGGACGTTGGCCCTGCGGTGGACAAGGCGGGCGGGGAGTCAGGACCGAGCGACGTTGAACGCAAACGGGCACGGAGAACAGGAGTTTGGGGCTCCCCGGTCGTGATGTCGCCCACGATTCTCTCTCCCACTATTTTGTCGCCCATGGTGTTATCACCGGTCAGTGCCACTTTTTCACCGCTGCCTCGTGAGGCCCAAGAACAGGAGACGCCGCTACCTACCCTTGACTCAATGCATCGGCCAGAAGGGGATGAACAAACACCCTTGCCACCACTGCCTTCCTTCCACCTGGCTTCCAGTTGGCATTCTCCAGCCGACGCGCGTACTAGCCCAGGTATGGGTGAAGGCACCCCCACCCCTACTACCCAACGAGCGAGCATGCAGAGGCAAGGTTCGCTTTCCCGACCTGTGGGTGGGCGGCCGATGCCCGCGAGGAGAGGGCCAGACGGGGTACAGCTCAGTCCTTTCCTAGTGCAGGAAGGGTGGGGAAAAGAAAATATCCGGCAAGGAGGCGCTGCAGTGCAGGAGCTCAGCAATAAGCAATGGGAAGCAGAGAACGAGAAGAAGCGGATGGAGGCGAGGAAGTCACACGGCGGAGTCGTGGTTGACGACCGGTCCGAGGACTCTCAGACTGGCGAGCTGGACAAGCTACTCGCTGCCGTAGAGCAACGGCTCTCCGAAACGGGGTGTGGTCCTCAGCCAGAGAAGATTGATCCCACCGAGGACCATACGAGCGACGGCGAGTTTGGCATTGGCCTCAGTTTACTCCAAAGTGAAGAGTTGAGTGACGATGAGAGCTCGCTCGCTTCCCTCGCCTCGCGCAATTCTCGCAGGGGCCGGTTGCATCTCTCACAATCTCGGAAAGCAATGGCGTCGGTTTCTGCTTCAGAGGTCGACGTTGACGAATCGGAAGGAGCGGAAGAAGCAGACGTATCGAACGATCCGGATGCAGGTGACACGGAGGAACTGGATCTGTATGGCGAGGCATCGATGGTCTTGTCCAGACCGTCAAGTCAAGGGAGGAGAAGTCGTCAAGGTTCCTTGAAGTCGATCTCAGGGAGATCAAGTGGAAGGGAGACGAGGGAGAACAGAGACGCACATGCGCAGCCCCGGCCACATTCTTCTCGATCGTCCGCGCACTCGGTGAGGTCGTCTCGTGCTTCTTCATTCTCCCGGCCATCCCTACCAGCCGCGCCCTCTCACGTCTCCCTCGCTTCGAATGCTGCTGCTACGTCTATCTTTGCCGTTCGTCCCCCTCTTGTGACACGCGCAAGCATAAGTACACAAGCAAGTTTTTCCCCTGCGGACTTTTACGAAGCGTACGAGGTCGGAATGGGCTCTCCTGCTGTCAGCCTCCGAAGCCAGCGCAGTCCAGGTACGGGGCCTGGGAGGGATCCTTGGGCGAACGCGGACGTGATTGAGAAGCAGGGGGACTTTGACTTCCACTTACTTGATGAATTTGGAGAAGATGCGGAAGAGGTTCAAGCTGTGAATGAGACGCTGAGACTCTCAGAGAAAGTATCGGGCGAACCGGAGCAGCCGAAACAGGATGAGCGGCCTGTGCTGATTCTCGCTTCCGCACCTGTTGCCAATCTGGCACAGCGTAGACGTGGCTTGACCGGCCTTCTGCCACCTGTGGAGATCGAGGCACCACATACTCTCCGGCCGCCGGTCTTAAGGTCGACTAGCGAGGGCACGGCGCCAAGTTCAACATCTCAACCTCTGGTAACAAGAGTTGAAAGAGTATCTTCGTCGGAAATCATGCCCACTTCAGCTCGCTCAGCTACTTCTTTCGTTTCCACAGCTGAATCGTCTGCTACTCTAACCCAGGTCGATGGTACTACACCTCGGCCACCTGTTCGCCGATCCGTGACCTTGTCTGCCCTCCCTTCACCCACATTCCTATCTCCAGCTGGTTCTGGTAGCTTTGACTCTCTTTTGCCTCGTTCCTCTGTCTTTGTCGCAAACCCAGCACCTTCGTTCCAATCTCCGCTTTCTCCTGCATATTCGTCCCACCAAGGGCGTGTATTCACACACCCAAGCGGATCAAGCACCAACCGCAACAACATATGCTCCAGTCCTCTCAGCCCAATCAGCCCTGGCCCTACTACTCCCAGCCGACTTAGTCCTGCGAACTTGGCCAGTACAATTCGGGCACGGGTCGAGGCACAGCGTGCTACTACACCTAGCCCTCAAATCACTACTGAAGAGACGAGGCACGAGGCCCCGCTGGTAGTGACTACCACGCAAAATAAGCCAATGCTGGTGGAGGTCGATGCAACTCCTGAAGGTGGAGAGGGACGGAAGGATACCATGAGTAATGATCAAGACGACGAATTCGTAGTGTTTTCCCCATGCGTAACGTCTCCTACGCGCATGAATCGCGGCACTGAACCGGTGCCAGCACCAGTAGAATCTGTGTCACAATTGCCACCACACCCCTATTCTATGCTGGTCGCGCCTCCTCCAATAGCGGGTGTGGCCAACATGGTGTTGACTTCCAGCTCTGTAGCCGCCGTCGTTCCGACGCAACGTACAGTTCCCCCAGTTCTCTCAAGCTCCCCCGTTGCCCCCACCATATCGCCTCAGCAATCTCAATCTCAACTATCTGAGTTCCCTGGCTTGCCGTGGAGCATTCTGGACTCACCTCGAGAGACCGCTACAGCAGTACAACCGCCACTCCGCAAGGTCGACGTTAGTGGCCATATGGCTCACGACCTTTTGAGTGCACATGGCCCCATTCCGATATCATTCGAGCTCTCTCCAACAGGTGCTTTGGTAGCAACTCAAAGGGTGGGACCCTCTTCGCATAAACCCTTTGGGCCTTCACCGGTACTCCAGACACCTCACAGACAGTCTCAAATCCAACGACCCCAGGTGATTGAGCCTTCACCGACCCTGCTGGTCCCCCCTCGCTCAAAGCCACGGCCACGATCTCAGTCATTCTCAGATTTCACCACCTTCACGGATGCGTTGGAGGACCAGGACAGTAGCCAAACGGAAGAGAAGATCGTAGACTCACACATGAGTGACGATGACAATGATATCCGAGGTCGGATTTCAAACATCAGAAGTCAGGCGATGTCACTCAAGATTCGACCGCCTCCACAAACGGGATCGATGATCGGGCACTCAACTCTTCCGACGAGTCCGCTGGCCCATCCGGCTGCCTCTGGAGATGATGACGACGGCCAGATGCTTGATAAACCACCATTGCTCTTCAGGCGCGAAGCAAACAGTGCTCCTGTGACACCGTTACGGGAAGATCACGACAATTCGGGACGCATAAAGCCAGCACTCAGTGTGTTTTCGGATTCAAATCCATCCTCCCTTGTGCCTACGCCATCTCCACCTACTATGCATGCTCGATCCATGTCCTTACGTTCTAAGTTATCAATGACCGCGTTGAGGAACAAAAGGGATTTGCGTTCCGAAAGCCCTGGCCTATTTGGAATTGGCAGTTTTACTCAGACGCCATTGGAGAGGCGAAATCAAACAGTTCTTCAAGTGGAAGATGCCGAGTTTGAGATGGTTAAACCCACTCTCGGAGTGAAAACCGACGAACCTTCAGTGGAAAACGCATTCGAGTCACCCACGAGTTCCATTTCACAAGTCGGATCCATACCATCCGCGGCATCCGCGTCCTCCGCGCCAAATTGGATACAGCAGCCGTCCGCTCCACCTACTCAGACTCCAGCGCAGATCGAGGCGTATCGCAACCTCGAATTCCGTTGGGTCATGCTTATGCAGACGCTGAAGCCCGCTGGTGCAAGGAAGCAAAAGAAGGTCAAGAAAATCGTCTGGGAAGGCGTCCCGAACAGCGTCCGTGGAAGGGTCTGGACGTTCCTGACTGATGCGAATGCCAGGATGATACCGGGCGTGTTCGAGAAACTTGCCAGTCGAGCGGGAGATAGGACGGCGATTATGCTCAAAGATCTTGAACGTCTCTTCCCTGATCAACCCCACCTGCGCGACCCCAATGGTTCTCTTGTTAAGCTGCTGCAGGCCTATTTATCAATGGTGCCAGATGTGCAGTACGATCGTGAGCTCGCGATGGTAGCGGGAAATATTCTGTCTCTCTCTCCAGAAGAAGACGCCTTCTGGACTTTCGTCGCCGTCATGGACAACCAAATCCGGCTTTACTTCGCTTTGAACCCAATCCAGCTTGATGTGGATAGCCAACTGTTTAGCAAAGCTGTGGAATGGATGGACCCATCCCTTGCGAAGTTGTTATTCGAGCAATACGGAGTGTCTCCTCACCTCCTCTGTAAAGCTTGGTAAGTGCTGTATGACCCTTTGTATATCACCTGACTTCTTTCCAGGTTCGCGTCCATATTCTGCAGTGTCCTTCCGCCCTCACATTTGCAGCGCGTCTGGGACGTGTATCTTCTGGAAGGTCTTGGCTTCCTGTTCCGCACAGGTCTTCTTATTCTACAATCAGCTAAACGCCATCTCATGGCTTCACCTACGTTCCCTGCTTCAGCCCTGTCCTACCTTACGCGACCTCCGGCAGATCTCTTTGATCCCGACCCTGAATCTTTCATCAATCGCGTTGCATCCATGCGAATGCGTGACGACGAATTGAAACGCTTGCGCCCCAAGATCGAGGCGCGACTCAAGCAAACCAATACCCCGCAAAGACCGCAGATAGTCAATAGGGATATCATAAAGCCGCCCACTATTCTCAGCGTGCACGACACCAAGAAAGCACTGGCCTCTGTTTCATAATGCTGGAATCGACTCTCCCGTCATGATAACGGTTTTATTTGCTTTATGTCCCTTTGCCTGCTTTCCGTTCGTTATTCATACTTCTGGAATGATTTGGGTATCATTACATTTCTCCCTCAGATTTGTTGCATTACTATTTTCGCTTTTACCTTCTTATAATGCTCAACGATATGCCTAGTGATTACTTCAACTGCGGTAAAAGAGTGTAGTACACAGTTTGCCAGCAGCAATATCACTCAATGTTTATGTGTCGGGTCGGCAACCTGTAGGATCAACATTGGCGAGTTGTTACCAACCAATTCTACGGAACAGTTGTGCCGAGGCCGGAAACTCCTTTGGGAAATATGCTCCAATCAGGAAGCCCCACGGTGCAGCGCGTGAAAACAAACATAACAGGCATTTCAATTGTGTGATTGGTAAGCCTTTCCCTTGCCATCACCGCCCCGTCTATCATGCTGACTGAGCAACAATCCCATTCGAGAACTTTTTACTTGAGCAACGAAAGTGAACCAGTCACGAGTGACCAATCCCCATCAGAGGCACACACCAATTTCTCTGAATTGCGTGTTTCTCGGAAACCCGATCTCTGCTCATCGGGCGCCGTGCGGTTTGGTGACAGGCACTGGCAGGGGGTCAAACGTATAAATATCCGGAGGGGTCACCAACAACCAGTCCAGCAAATCCTAGTCAACAATAAACCAAAACAAGCCAACACTTAAACAACCTAAAGACCTAAATCACTTAAAACTACAATGGCCGACTTCTACGCTCCCAACAACAAGTGAGTGATCAACTAACATTATCGAGTTGAAGGAAAACTAACATACGTCTTGCAGCCGTGCTCCGTTCTCGCACATTGCAATCGACGTGACCTCCCTCGCGGAATCCGTTCCATTCTACGAGAAGACACTCGGCGTATTCGGATGGACCAAGACTTTCGAGCGGCCTGGCGCGGCGGCCGCCTTCGGGCCTGGCTACTTCCAACTCGTCCTGTTCGAGAAGGCTGATGGCGTCCGAGGCCGCACTGGCCGTGGTGGCACTCACATCGCTTTCGAGGCGCCTTCCAAGCAGGCCGTGCACGACTGGTATGAAGAGGCGGTCAAGCTTGGTGCGACTGCCAATGGCGAACCCGGAGTGCGCGGACACCTTTCGCCTAATTACTACGCGGCGCACGTCCTCGATCCTGAGGGCTACCGTCTCGAGGCCGTTTACCACCTCAAGCCCGAGGAGGTCAACTAGGCAAGAACAGAACAGAGACCATAAACGAGATAAAGAACAGGGTTGATTGGAGCATGCATTCAAGAACTGGCGACCTGGTCGAACGAACGGGGTCGCAGACTCAGTAGAATTAAAGAATAAATACTTGTGTTCCGTTATACATGGGCGCCCGAGTGACTTGCATCGGTGTTAGAATGGCGTTTTCCGGTAGAAGCAAAGTCCGCAAAACTCCCAAGATCGATACTCCTTGACCTATAGTCGAACATCCACCTCTGCATTAGCTGGTATCTCGGGCTCAATCTCATTATCTGCCATCTCACTGCCGAGAAGCACAACCGAACAACAACAACAAAGGCATGTACCATCAGATTAGAAAGACTGTCCTGATGATGGAGTGTTATTGTTGGGCGTTAGGCAACAACAAGATCGCCTTGGTTCTCGGCTGTTTCACAACAATCCTTGTTTTCCCTATAGATGTTGGCGGTACTGACAAGGAATAGATCGGTTGAAACAGTTAGACTCGTCCTATATATATATGATCAACATCAACCATCGCACAACAACTACTAGTTCGAGCGTGCAGAACAAGTAGCATTGTCGCAACATATGCAACCTTCTGATACGACCGATCAAGGGCAAAATTATGTGCAGATTCACTCAAGATCCGGTCGATTTGGTAACATCTACATTTCAACTATAGAATTGGTAATTGTATTACCCATGGTCCTCATTTTGCAGTCCAGGCTCGTTAAAGGCACCAAATAAGGGAGCATATCCACACAACAAGGGATCATCTGCCATACAATGTTAGTGCTCTTGACCAAACAATCTTAAGGACGTGCGAGTTATTCACCTTTACCGTCATTTGACTTGCCGTATTCCAATCTCGGACAATGACCAAGAAAGGGAATTCTCGGGCTCAGTAGCCAAATATAGCCCTAAGTGGCAGTGCCTCGCGCCGAGTCACCCGAAATGACCGGTGCGGATCCCCCATGGGGCAGGCAAACTTGGTCACCATCCTCTGTGGAGAACATTAATTCCTCCTCTGTTTGGGATATTAATTCTACGTATAATGTCCCCCATTGGGAAGGCATCTCGAATGCGTTCGGTGTGGAGGGTATTGATATCACCGAGTTGAAGCCGGTCATATATGAAGCCATCTCGAGCTCATGTTGCATCTGTAGACAACTTGTCGACGTGTCTGCTCTTTCCTCTGTTCTGCCACTGTACGATTCATCATGACGATCCCAATTAACTACGACAAGTACAAGGTCCTTTCGAGTACGTCATAACCTCAACTCGCGGGCCTGCTCTGATCATTGTGATACAGAGGAGCAAATCGACTTCTTTCTCGAGAATGGATTCGTCAAGATTCCTGGTGGGATGAAAACAGAGTGGGCAGACAAGTGGACCTCGGATGGTGCGCCATGCTCGAACGACACGTATGAATCTCATCAATTAACAAAGTTCCAGTGTTCATCCGTCTCGGTTATGACCCGAACGACAAGGCTACCTGGGCAGCAAACGAGAAGGTCAATATGCCTTTCCACAGGCGTGAGAGCGCGGCAGAAATCGCGCCCAAGGCATGGGAGGCGATCTGCGAGCTCTTGGGTGGAGAGGAGAAGATCAGCCCGACGTGCAAGCAGTGGTCTGACAGCATTATCGCCAACTTTGGGTCTGAGTACTGGGCAACACATGATATCGCCCCGAAGGAACTTGATAACTGGGTACGTACTTGCGGATCATTGCAATAGCTCGCTTACGCCCGTGGTAGCACGTCGATGGGGACTTCTTCCGCGTATGTCAATCACTCTGCATCCTGTGTCCCCGCTCATGCCGTGCGCAGCACTTCCTTGACTCTCCCGAACAAGCGCTGCTCGTCATTCCCCTGTTCGCCGACATCCTGCCCCGTGGCGGAGGGACATACATCGCCCCCGACGGTATCCCGAAAGTCGCCAAATACCTGCTCGACCACCCCGAGGGCACCTATCCCCAGTCTTACGAAGACGGATTCCCGTTCAAGTCCCTCATCCCCTCATGCGAGAACTTTGTCGAAGTGACCGGGAAGAAAGGTGACGTCTTCCTCCTTCACCCACTGATGCTGCACTCGGCGAGCAAAAACCATCTCCGGATCCCGAGGTTCATCACCAACCCCCCAGTGAGCATCCTCAAGCCGTTCAACTTCAACAGGGAGAACCCGGACGACTTCTCCCTCGTGGAGGTAAAGACGCTCCGTGCGCTGGGTGTGGACAAGCTCGATTTCAAGCCTACGAGGCCGTATGAACGGGTGACGCCTCGTCGTCTCCTGGTACAGAATAAGATGCTTGATCTGGAACTGGAGGTACGTATTAGGACACTCGATCATCGGATCTCCCGCAGAACCTGATTTCCCTCCAGCGGCTGAAGAAATACCACGAACAGACCGGCACGCCTATCGAGTCCCTCCATCTGCTCGGCCAGATCACCCGAGCAGATATGGTCCCCAAAGCGATACCGGGTATCGATAGCCAGCTGGCCAAGCCCGTGCCTGTGGCTTGAGCGAAGTATGCTCGTGCTGTTTGAGTGTGGAAGATGTTGGAATGAGTTAGATGTAATCTGTTGTTAACGTTGTACAAAGTGGAGTACTGAGTACTGTTGTAACACTTTTATTGTGGAATATAAGCGTGATGACGTCTTTTACGTTCTGCTGATCTTTCCCATTCCCTCGGGCGGCGCAGTCGCATGATTACCGCGCGCGTACAAGTATTCGCAAACTAGTCGGGTTGTTGTTGTGCAGCAGGAATATTGCAAACCGGCAGTGGAGATCACAGAGATCATTAATATTAGATATCAGCTCTACGTTCCGAATATTACGCGAAACCGAACGAGCGTTACGTATTCATGGGTCCACGTCGTGCCACAGCATGACCTCGTGATCTCCGGATATGAGATCATAATAACATCCTCCCGCGATGTTCGCCCAGCAAGGACTAGTCTAGCATCGACCGAATGCGAATAAATTTCCCGGCGGTACCTTCAACAGAGGAAGCGCTCTCTCGGCCCGTTTACCATATCCAACACACCGGCTCTGAGCAGGCTACGGAGCCGTTCGATCCTTCCATTTGGGCGGGGCACGTCCTCTTGCAGCATATGGAGCGTTCATGCGGAGTAAGGCAGACAATAGATTATCTCGCCTACAACGACTACGGCCTCATGACATCTCACCCCAGGCCAACACAGCCAGAACCGGAAGAGACCCCCAGCGCATCGCGAAGCGCTGCGCCGTACTCGTACAAGACCAGACAGGACAACAGAGGAAGGAGGCAGGAAACAGACAAAGAGGCAGAACGCGATGAAACGGACTAAAAATGTGGCCTGAATGGATAATGCTGACATGTAGTTCTTCCCTTCTCTCGAATGAGCGCCTAGTCCCGGAGCTTGGGGAGGTCGCCGATCGGGAGGATGAAGTAACTCGTATCGGGCGAGTAGAGACCAGCTGCACCAGTGTAGTACGCGACGAGAGCAGTCACGATGCTGCAAGGAATGTTAGCGTTTAGAGCAGAAACGGCTGGTATATGCACTCACCCGAATGCACCGCCAGCTTTGTGCACGGCGGCCTCGCCTGTAAATTCGCCAGCGGCCAGGAGGATGAAGGTGATGAAAAGGAAGAAGAAGACAGCCGAGAGAGCGACAGAGGCGCGGAAGGTGCCGAGGAAGAGGAGGAAGGTGACGATGAACCAGCACATGAGGTACATGCCGACTGCGTTGGGGATCTGGGACGCGGCCGCACCGGAGTAGGCGTCGAGGATGCCAAGATCGGGAAGGTAGATGCACTGCGCATATACTTAAGTTTTACGATTTTCACCAGGAAAAGAAAGTACTCACAGCGAAGGAAAGCCAGAAACCGCCATAAGAAGAGAAGGCCGTGGCACCAAAAGTGTTACCGGCGGCAAACTCCCACATGCCTGCGAGCAGCTGGCAGAGCCCACCCACGCCGAGGGCCATGCCGACGACGATGTTGGGAACGGTAACATTACGCGCTGAGACGTTGACAAGGGAGAGGAGGAGGGTGGTGCTGGCGAATGACCAGAGACCGAGTGGGGCGGGGTTACCCAACCGACGGTGGTAGATGGGGAAGGCGGGCTGGGTCTCGGTGGTCAGTGTACGCCCGAGGTTGGCGCCATTGTAGAGGTGAGCATTGGCGGGGCCCGCGTCGGAGACGACTAGCGTGGGAGCGAGTGGGGAATACGCGAAGAAGAAGGGAGCGAGTGGGGAAACACGGGGAGGACGCGTGAAGGAAGACGGAGGAGAGATGAGATCAGCGTCTTGTCACATGCTGACAGATGCCCCGCGGCGTCCGGACAAGTCCGGGAGGGGGGAACTCACCTGTGTTCTGTGGGGTAGCCTTCTCGATGTTAAGAGCCATTGTCGATGTTTAAGAATGTAGATGTATGCGTGTATATGCACAGAAGGGATAGAATGAGGGGACGCGGGCAGGCGGCGGTGAGAGAGGGTGGGAAGGGAGATGAGGAAGAGGGAAGGAAGGGGCGTTGGGGGGCTTTATAACCAGACGGGGAAAGGTCAGCGGGGATGAAGAAATGGGGGGGTAAGTGAGGCTTCGAACACGGGGTCACACACCGGTCATTCCTTGAATGAGCCACTCTCTTTTTTGGTCTCGCCTTTCTTCCCATCTGTCACCCGTCACTCTTTGCCCCCATTTCCCTCCCCTTCTTCCCCTTCTCATCAGCCCACACTCATCTCTCCCCCCATCCCACCGGTACAACTTAGCATCCGATCTCTCCCCGAATTACCTTTCCTTTGAACCCCAAGACGCGCCCGCAGAGTGGATAGCGCACTGGGCCCTTTCCCAATCACACTCAAAAAAAAAAGCGCGTCTCGCCCATCGCCCAGCAACCGCTCACCCTTGGCATTCGATCGGGCTCTTCTAGCCGCGCTGCCACCCGCTTCTCATCCTCCAATCCGTGTTACATATTTTTATTCAATACACTCAACTTTCTTCCCAACGCCGCAACCGCGCAGGCAAACCGGTGCAGATTACTTCGTGGATATTCCCCACATTTCCCCACGTCCGACCCCACTGATCCGTAGGATCAAACCTCCCGTCGGACGAGCGCAGGCTGCGTGACCCAAAAACAACAAACAGATCCAGCACCCGCCACCCGACTCCGTCCGACCCACCCTTATCCCCACACCAAAAAGCATGTCATGTGTCACCCGGGAACGTCATCGCCGCTTGGCCGAGCCAAGGGGCCGGTGCCGCTTACTCCGCCGCCCTTTGCAAGACCCTAAGCTGCCCAACTCACGCGCTCCAGATCATTTCCGGAGCGCCCCGACTGTAAGGGTTCACTCGATATACCGCCCCTTCCGCACTCTTGGGCCAAGAACCTTCCCCGCTCCCGGGACGCCGCCAACGGCATGCGGGGGGCCAAGAACGGTCGGACAAATGCGGGCGGGGTCGGCGTCGGCCTTGGAAGCATGTATAGGATTAGGAATGCGGGTCAAGAATAACACATTCATTTTGCTCTCTATGCTGCGGGGCTCCGCACGTTCTCAACAGGCTTCTTACGAGTCGGATTTCATCTGGCGTGTCAGCCACACGAGCTAATCACCATGAACTGTATTTGGCTGGGTGGCTAATTTCTCGTCCCTTACCCAGACCATCGATCGTACCTGATCAGCCGATCCGTTTATGTCACTAAGGTTACAAAGCTACCAAGTTTAGCCATTGGAGAGTTCAAGAAGTTTGTCGAGTTTGACTTGGGAAACTCCCCGATCGGATCCTCTAGACTGAAAGCTTAGCAATCCCCAAACGTTTCAGCACACGCGCCTCTCACCTAGCGTCAGTATCTGCTCTGCGCCCAGCAACTCGAAACATCGATTCGAGACGCACGAATCATCTCGATCAAATTTGGCAACCCTTCCCCTAGTGCTGAACCGCATCCTCCCGAATAAGGGACGACCCCGCACTGCCCCCACTTTCCCCGCCCTGAACTCCAGCCCTCGTTTTTAACAATGAGCGCGTCTCAGGGCGTTTTGGGTGCTGTCGTACGTGGTGGAGAGCCTGGATCGGTAGGTTGGAAGCAAAGAAGGTGGGGAAGAAGCACTGAAGGGTTATTGATGAGACCCTGGACGGGGAGGATCGGACGGGGTTGCTTGAGAAGGATGTTGGGAGCGTGGGAAGAGAAGTCGGGTCTTGGTTTTTTGGTTGAGGATGATTGGGGGGTCTGGAGGGTGACTGTGACTATTGAACCCCGAAAGAAAAGGGAAGGGGCGGTGGTACGGGTCCGCCCAGAGCCATGGGGGTTAACGTGTTTTGGTCGGAGGGTGCCGATAGAGCACGGGTTGAGGGTTGATCAATGGGCGAAGAGAAGAGGCTACATCGGCGGGCATTCTTTGGTTGGCCAGATCTTCACCGATATATGAGGTCATAGTCATGACCATCATCAGAGAGTGAAAGAACGCGGATAGCCATCGACAATATGAACCTGCCTTGACCATGTCTGCGATCAAAGAGGGGACGAGCGCCTAATATGGAAAACCGGACGTTGACGTCATGTGACCCAAGTGCTCTTTGTCGACCTCGGACAGACGTCGGATTCGGCCTGATCAGCACAAGAAGCATTCGCTAATACTTGCCGGAGATTGCGACGTGTAGTATAAAAGGGAGATATAGAGCTCTAGTTTCCTTTTTGGCGCATGCATACACGTGTCAGCCCTCCGTCTTCGGCTGCGAAAATCCATATATACGTACAAGCGATCGACTCTTCGTTCTTATCTTCCCTCTGACCCCCCTTCACCTAAAAGCCTCACACCATCCATCCTCTCGCGATAACATGCCACTTAAATATCTGAACATCGAAGAGTACGGCACCATTATCGGTTTCGACAAAGCCCGCGACTTGTGTGAGAAGCGGTACGTCCCTTTCCGCCAGCGAAAGTCTGCATCGTGAAGTCAGAGTCCATAGACGCGACGATCCCGACTGTTGTCGTATAGACGACAACGGATGCTGGGTATGGCTTGGCGACATGCACAAGCACGAGGACATCTACCACCCAGTGTTCACGCATCATGAGAAGAACAGGGTGGTCCTCTTGGATGTGCTTGCCTTGTGGGCGAAAGAAGACCCGCCGCAGTTCGACCCGAAAAGTCCTTCCATATGGGCTTCTCGGCTCTGTCATAAACGGCGCTGCTTCAACTGGGAGCATATTGTTGCCGAGGACAAGGATGTATGCCCTCTCTTGTGTGCTTGTCCAATGCTAATGTATGCCTAGTATGACCTGAGCCGGTATGGTTGTGTTTGGAGGACCAAATGTGCAGGATGCGATCGTGTCTGTGAGCACTGCAAGCACAAGCCGCCCTGTATCGCACCTCCAATACGTCTCGACGAATGCTGTCGTCCTCGTAAGAGGGAACGGCCAAAGAGTTCCTGCGTGTAGCTGTACATATATGTAACCATGACCGGATACGATTTCTCCACAAGCACCTGACAGACTGTCAGCGTTACCTAACGGTCGATAGTATAATTTCTACTTTTGATGGCCGAGAGAACTAGCGGGAATGGACCGTCGTCGCGCATATGTGCACCTCTAGAAGACCAGGGCGTTAGATGCTGGTATCAGGATTCGGGCGCTGATGCCAGCCAGCATATAGACATCTAGGTCGAGTGTAGCTCGGCCGGCGAGTGCTCCAGGAGGCAGGGATGGGTGATTTCGCCGTATCAGTGCTTCAAGATATCATCAGAGAATGCTTTGTTGACAGACCTCACATACCTACATGAGCTATAGGGACACAACCATCCCCGATGTATGTGCTGGATGTTGGTTCTATGTCCCAAGCATTCGTCGTCGGAGCGTGCAAGAGAACAAACTTCAGTTCAGGAACCACTTTCCCCAGATTTGTCGAAGACACGAATAGACATATAGCCCATCGTCTTCCCGCACGTGATATAGCAGCAAGCGAGCTAAATCACTGGCAACAGTCCCAGCAGGCGAGAGTTCGGCGATGGGTGAAGAACAATTGATCTCGCACATCCCCGAGTCTGAGTATATCGAGATTTCAAATCGACGACAGCAGGACGATACAAGTCTAGGAAGTAGGTAGTCCAGGACATCGAGTCGCCAGATCGACTCGGATCGCAACACTTTAGACAACTGTGACCCTCACTTGCAGTAAAATGTCGGCGTGGTTACAACTAAGGTACAAGGTAACGTGACAGCGCACATGTTCCAGATAGAAGTTGTTGTGCCCCTCCCTGACTTCGAACTCGTGTTCTCTTCTTCTTTACCAACCTTGCTACTGTTACAACGCCGAAAGCAACTCGTCGTATTTTGCAGTCGTCACCGATCGACGCTGCCAAGCCGCCGAGCAGAGTTGTACATGTTGCGTCGAACGTGCGTCACGTTTCTCTGCACTTGACGACATGACGAGAACGGCGGTTTCTACGACCACATCAAAGGCCACTTGACAACTTCTACCTACCTTACCCCGAAAACCACAGGCTCATGGCGTGAGCTCGCAACGGTACTGCCTGACATGAACGATGCTGTCAAAGGGACGCATATACTCGTCGTATCGACCTGCTGCGGTTGTCTCTCGTGACAACTTCACACCTTCACGCATTCACACCTCGACACCTTCACATCTGTTCTCTTCTTTCACGTCTTGCCCCTATCTAGCGAACGTTCGATACCAAGGTACACGTCGCTGGAGGATCTTTTCTCCAAAATCTCGGAGCATCGTTCTCCCATCGCTCAGTCCCAGAATAAACGCCACGTCGCCAACTTTCACAACCGCATGCCGGCATTCTCGAGTTCTGGATTTTAAGTTTTGGCAAGCCTAACCTAGATCTTTCGCCACATTCTGGATATTTTCGACCTCTGCCAGGAAAAACTTGTGCCACATTCGACCTTTTTCGACCTTCCTGGGAACACAGGCTCTGCATATAGCACGTTTATCATCCTCGGCCAGCCTAAGTCGGCGTGGATCGAGCCCGCTGGCAAGAGAAAGGGTCTCTTACGAGCACAGGTCCTGAAGATAATGAACAGGCGCAAGCTTGTTGCGTGCTAACATGCATTTGGGCTTCACGCCAGTACGGGAGATTCTAGGCAGGGTGCTTATTGGCACCTACCTTCGTTCTGTTGCCTAGCTGGCAGATGATTCGCACCCCGATCTGTCCGCGGTCCTCTTGAGGATATGCGTATCACGACCACGAAGTTCTGTCCAGCGAAGGGAGATCGTTACTTCCAGGGTCTTTATCGGTCTCGTCTGAGCATAGATACTGGGCGCATAGAAGCAGTGAGTAGGCGACCGTAGCATGCTACCAATAAGGAGAAGGAATTACCATATTCGGCCCTCGGCGGCGGATCCGCCATTGTCTCAAAACGTCCTTCCTCCACTCATCGATCGGCATCGCCGTTACCTTGACACATCACGCGCTCGGAACAGAATAGGAGACAAGCAATAGGATTTCCGACGTAGTAATATCATACATTGCGTGCTCTGGCACGTTCCACGAGCAGCGGTGTACATACAGTCTACGAAACCAAGTTTATACGTACAGGACGGGGGTGGTAGGAATACATTGCTGGGGAATAGGAGGAGGGATATGAGGGTGTTGGATGCTGAGCTGGGTGCGGCGACGAAGGGGAGCGTCTTGCTGGTTTTTGGTAGCCGTCCGATAGGGGGTCGGGCGATCGGCGCGGTATAGAATCCACGCTGGAGATATCATGTATGGTCGAAAGCGGCCGTCGTGGGTCGATACGATGCTACGCAGCACCAATCTCAATCGGTCTCGCGCTCGTCGGTGTCATCTCCTCCAGATCGAAGCCCTTGCTGTAGACGCTCAGGGCGCGAAGCATCGGCACCTGTCTCCGCCTCCTCTTCTCTTCCCGTGCGCGCCTGCGCCCACCTTCGAGGAGCAGGAACCCGAGGCCTTCGGTAGCGTGTAGGACGTAGTCTGCATCTGCGATCTCTGGTTCGAAGGCGTCTGGTGCGCCGAGGTAGGGCAGGCGCACCCAGGGGATAGACCGCGCGGCTTCGGGGTAGTGGGCGAAGAAGGACGAGGAGGAGGGTGTGTCGAATGGCCCTGTTGAGCCTTTGATGGTAAAGCCTTGGGAGAGGAGGGAGGAGATGGTCGCTGAGGCCATGAGGCCGTTGACGGATGCGAGGACGGTTGATGTAGATGACATCGCTTTAGATAGGAATGGGATTGGGTGTGTTGGTTTAGGTGGGTGAGCGCGGTGTGCGGGGCAGATACAGGATGAGATGAGTGGAGGGAGAGCATTTATACCCTGGCGGAGAGGAGATTACCCACGGTCGGAAGGTGACATGGTTGGTGAGAGAGTCGGGTCATGTCATGCCGACCCGCGACGGTCGACCCTACGACGTGGTATCCCTAGCATTTTCCACGGTACTCTGCTCGCTGCTTCGAATTCCTTCAGATGCGCTTTACGCAGCATCGGCAGTTGTGGTCATGAGCATGATTCATCCTTTGTCTTCGGTGGTCCACGCTGAAAGGGAAAACAGGGACGGATAGGACGTAAGCCAGCGGGTGGCTGTTCGCATATGAGTCGGGTTGGCGTTGCATGTATCTCTGTACAGTTCACTGCAAACTGCGGCGCATATGCACGAGACGCAGGTGAGGCTGCGTGGGTTCCCACTCATTCGCCCTTCTCAATCTTTGCTGAGTAAGCGCACCTCTCTGTCTTCACTGGTCAGCAAAGTCACGGAAGCAGACGCACGTCATCCCAGGATGTGTTCTGATTGGGCACAGCTTTGGACACTTTGAAGATGACCAAGGCTGACAATAACAGTTTTTACGCTTTGTCAGCCAAGCACGACGTTTTTGACCAGTGGCTCTGTCATACTCCCAAATAACGATATACAGTCTAGACTGCTCCCATCATCCCCAGTTCTTCCCATCATCTCCCAGGTGCATGACTGAGATGGAACAATTAAACTCGAAGACGTGACACGACCTATGTGATTACTAGATCTGACGAACTCCTGCTGGGCGTAGGACTGGCGACATACTTAACGTGACGTCGTACTCTACAACTGGACGAGACTCTCGAATGACAACTGGACGAGACTCTCGAAGGACTTTGCATTATATCATCTAAGGTCGATTCGTATTTCAGAAAGGGTGCGGCATGCTTGCTCCTCATGTAGGCTTTGAGGAAACCGAACACTACTCCCCTCCGTGTGATGGCAACCTTTCCTGGGAGAATGTGAATCCAATATCGGATGATGCCCTGCATCGCACGAATTCACTGTCTTGCGTCCTGAACCTGGCAACTTCATCCGCGCCTTCCTTGAACCTCAACCCAAGTCTCACATGTATCTATCTGTACACTGTAAGATGCTGTCTCGCTCCCGTTTCGGACATAGGCATGTGAAACTTTCCTCGCCGCTTGATGTTGTTTTGGTATGTCACTATCTGAATGAAATTTCCCTGCATGTTCTCATAACCCGCAGGCTTAATACGCCAGCAGTGTGCTGGATGAACTCGCCGCTGACCGCGTCCGTCCACCTAGCGAGGAGGCCACCGAGCTGTTTTTGCCGTCAATCTCCGACTGAAGGATGCCGCGGCGTTCCTTCACAAATGAATGCCATAAACTGACCCTCCCTATGGTGGTATTGTCACAAAGTTCGTGTCTCCGATTATCCCCATTACAAAATTGACGCCATTCTAAAATAAATAAGAAACCGCCCCTCCCAAGTTCTATCACAGAGTGTCACTCCCCGTGTACGAAGGACCAGCCAGAAATTGGATGCTGCCGCTTTCGTGAGTCGATTACGAGACACGAAGGAGATGACACGAACTGGAGTTGGTATATGCGATTCGGTCCATCCCTCGCGTTATCCCGTGTTAAGTCGACAAGAAGACGGACCTTACTGCTGTGGTAGAGTCAGAGCCGGATAGGAGCGATGATAACCCGTTGCCTACGTCTTCGAGCCGTCTCAGGAACGCCGTGCCTTCCGCGCAGCTGTATCCATGTCAGCGACCAGGTCCAGCACCGTCGCCATCAGGCACTCACTGTCCGCTACAGATGGGATATACAGCCTCTTCGGGGGGTTGGGCGGCAGCCCTCGTCTAAACCGCTCTGCGTTCGTCATGTTCCCCTCGGTTGGTGTGGGGGTTGTCAGAGCAGGCACAAGCAGCACGGCCAGAATGAGGAAGACGAGGTGTAGACGCGCTAACATGGTAGGGGGATGACGTGGCTGTATTTGGAAAGAAGAGGGGTAGACCTGCCGTTATTTCACCCAAATAGGCTACACCAGGCGGAAGAAGCAGGCCGTTGTTGACGATCTAGGAACACAGGACGGACATAGCTCGTATCACGGCTGGACGGGTGCGCAGTTCTGGGCCGAAGGGCACGACGGAGGGATGGGATGTGTACCCCCGGACCGTGGACAGCATTGTTGTTGGTCGAGCGAGGCACGGCGGACTGTTGGGTTGTGTCACAACATTCCGGGCAATTGTAAGGGTCTCGAAAACAAAAAGGCGTGATCTGGGCGCTGAAACGACTCGCAGGTGCTCCGTCCGGTCCGTCCTGCCCGTCAACATGCCGATCTCTGTTCACGGGCGAAGGAATAGAGGGAACATGCCAATATGATTATCCTTGGCGAAACATGATTGTTCGACAAACTACAGAGGACCGCTCTAACTTGTATAGATATGGTATAACACCTCAACAATCAACAGGTACTAATTCGCATAATTCAATAATACTTCGGGTGCAGCTAAAAGTACTTACTTTTCAAATAGGAAGTTTGATCCACCCAATGTACGATAACAACGAGCGAACGACAGCGCCCGAATTCGGACAAGAACGGGTCTAGCGCGGAAGAGGAAATTATCTACGACGCTCGTGCTTTCTTGGCAGCTGTATCCTGATCGGCATCGCATGGGGTGAATGTGGGACAAACGCACTGTCAGATATAGACGGGATATAGAGCCTCCTTGGGGCTTTGGGCCCCAGTCCCCGGGCAAACCGTTGCGCGTTAGTCAGGTTCTCCTCCTCCGGTGCGGGCGCTCTCTTGGCTGTTCCATCCCATCAGTATACCGCACGACAAATATAGCTGGAATCACCTACCATCAGAGTTGGACGGGACGAACAGCCTCTTGGGCGCTTTTGGTCCCAAACCACGGGCGAACCGTTGTGCGTTTGTCAGGCTTTCCTGGCCTGGTGCTGGGTTCGCTAGCACCATCAGAGCGAGTAGAAGGGCGAGCAGGAAGAGGGGGAGGTGAATGCGAGCGAACATTATTGGAGAGTGGGAATAGGAAGGAGGGAGAGGAGGGGGGATGTTGAACGATTCATGGTAGTTTTTCCTTTTAAGTGCCAGAAGCCGATTGTTGACAAGGCAGAAAACTATCACGAACATATCCCACAGGACGGGGAGAGGCGTCGTGATGATGTAGAGGCGTCGGTTTGCCGAACAAGTGGAGGACTGGCTGTTGGGTTGTATCAGAACAGGAATGCGGTCTAATTGGTAGGGGTATCACGGACGCGTCTCTATATTATACGTCACGTGCAACTCATGGGCGCTAAAATTAAACCGCTCCTCTCTCTGTCTTTTTCCTCGCCCGTGCTCACATCGCCGAAAGGCGCTTTGATGTATACGGAGATACAACAAAGCGCCAAACAGATAGTCATCATACAAAGGACAACGAGAAGCACACCAAGAGTCTGAACTTCCCACTTTGTGTCAGCCTATTCTCGTCTTTCACCTGAGCTCTTTGTTCAATTGTTAGTACGTTGCTTTTCAAACATGAAAAAGGTGAGAAATGCTCCTCTGTGCCATTGTTGACGTTGGAGGTAGCCCCCGCTCAATGGCGCTAAATGAAGCTCTGCACGTGTTATTGTGACCTGTCTTCCCTCTTCCGTCCACGCGCTTCAAGGACGGAACAAAGAGCAACCCGAGGACACCACTCAATTTGCCTGGCAACAACAATGGCAACGAAGGTCATCTGAATGCCGAAGCTTCTCGTTGTCTCCGCGGTCTATCACCGGAAAGATCCTTTAGATCTCCCTTGTCAAACAAAAGAGGCCTAAGCGTCAATTAGAAGATGCGACCTTCCGGATATAGGAGAAGCAACGGCATGTTGTTGCTTCTCTTATTGCTAGACCCTCGGCCCGGCCAGGACGTATAAACGCTGAGATGGGGCGGCGTCTTCCTGCAATCTCTGCTCTGCGTCCTCCTCTCAGGTCTCCACGGTGGACAGTGTTATTGTCCATCCTTGCAATCAACCCTATCTGTTGATAAGAACACAAAATGTCAGAAACAGCAGCTACGAACTCTGCTTACATCTTTCGGCTTTCCTCGCCTGACCTGTTCAACTGTATTCTGTACACCGACGCCGGGGCTTACTACAGCATCAACACCACGTCCGACGAGGTCCCCACCGACCTGCTCACCCCTCCCACCTCACCGACCTCGCCAACCTTCGCCAGTCCAAGGAAAGAGCGCTCCCTGCGCCCGCAGCCAGGCCACGTAGGGGAGGTGATCACCGTCCGTTCCGCACGAGGGATAGGAGAGTTTGTCGGGAGCGTGAGGCACGCACGAGGACAGTGGGAGATTGTCCTCGGTCTACCGGAGAGAGGGACGGCGTTTGGCAAGTTCTTTGGGCTGCGAGTGTGGGGCAAGGTCATGGGCAAGTGAGTCATTGAGGTTGGGCTTGCGGGAGAGGCTGATGAGATGAGGAGTGTAGTAGGCCGAGGATCCGGGATGCAGACGGCGGATTCTGGACTTGGCAAAACTACCGTTCAGGCAGAGAACTTCACGTGCGTCTTCCATCTCTTTCGTATCCGTGGCGTATCCCTGGCTAACAAGCGCTTAGCTGATAAGTCCCAGCGGGGAAGTAGCAGCCCAATTCCGCCCCTCCGACCCGGACAGGATCGCCGACCCCAACGCCGCGCTCATCGTGTACAAATGCGCGTTCGAGATCAAGGAGCTGGTGATCGTTAGCTGGCTGGCGCTCGAGCGGGTGCAGAGGGAAGCGGAGGAGGGCGGGAAGGGGAAGGGATTGGGGAGGAAGGGGAGCTTGAAGCAGGCAGAGTGGAGGACGATGAGTGTTGGTGTTAGGAAGTAGCGGGCTCGTTGTGGAGTGCGAGGGGAGGGTTGTTTTGTTCTTTATGCCGCTTGAGGATATGACCGCTTGTTGTACATCAGACAGGAATTATACATGCTCAGAATTTGAAGGTCGTTCATTGAACGCAGCAACGTAGCACCCATCGACGTCTTGCCCCAGGCGTTCCAATAATTCATGCACATCCATTGTCATCATCTCCTGACTATTATACACCCCTGTCATACATCCAATTCCCCTCTACCTAGCCTCCAGTGCTCTCGTGTCTATTGCGCAAGCCTCTGTGCTGCCCGATCATTGTGTTTGTTGGTCCATGTTCACTGTTTGCTTGCTGTTCGCCAAATCGAAACCGAAGAAAATAGAGATAAAAACGTTGAAGAGCCGGAATAGACTGTCTGGTCAGGTTGTATGGCCAGGAGGCAGGCGGGAAGGGAAGAAAGAGAAAGGACGACAGAAAGAGCGATGAGGCTATAACGCGCTCATCTCTTCCCCTTCGTACGCTTCCTCCAACTTGGAGTCCTCCATCTCCTCGCCCAGCGTCTCCGCCAACGGGAACTCCTTCATCTACCCCCAACAATCAGCACGCGCAGCACGTCACCCCAGCCGCCGAAAAAAGGGACATACGAAAAGCACCAATCCGGTCGCTATGAGCGCCAACAGCCCATTGGCGAGGAAGACGGCGTGCAGGCTTGTAGCGTAGCTCGAGAGAGAGGAGGCGCGTTGCATCATTGGCAGGTCGAGGATGGAGCTGGCGTTACGTCGCACTTGGGCGACGATCTGGGTTGGGGTGAGTATGCTGCGGAGTACGGGGGAATGAGGTGCGTAGGAGGGAGGGAGGAGTACGAAGGACGTAGCGCGGAGCACGTAGGGAGAAGAGAGGGACGTACAAAACCAGCGTCCACCCCGCTAATCCTCTGCTCCAACTCCCGTTCCAGCACGCTCTGCTGTATCGCGCTCGAGAGTGCCATCCCTACCACCTGCCCACAGGAGCGGAAGAGGAAGGCGATGCTTGTTACGAGTGCGATGTCTGCTCTCCTGACTGAGGAGAGCATCGCGACTGTACGAGGATGAGCATGAGCAAACGCCTTTCAAGAGGGGGGATGGGGAGGGATGGGATGGAATGGGGAGGACGCACTGAATGTAGACCCGTTGTACCCGCTTCCCCCAAAACCTTGGGGCATGAGCACGACCCAAGTGAGGAGTTCCCACGTGTGCCGGCCTACGAGTGCGAGGAGGAAGCAGGGAAGCGCTTGGAGCGTGCAGAGGAGTACGATAAGGTGGTAGTATTTCCCCGTTGTGCGGATGTACTGCGTGGGTGGTACGGTGTTAGCTTCGGAGGGTCGGGGAGAGGGTTGGGGAAGGGACGTACAAAACCGGATAAAACACCACCTAAGGCCCCGCTGATCGTCGTTGGTATCAAGTGCATCCCAGCCCCGCTCGCCGAGTTGCCCCTAACGATCTGCAGTAGCATGGGGAAGAAGAGCCCCAGGGCAATCGTAGCCGCACTCGCGAGAAAGGAGCTCCATGCGATGGCGGCGATGTGTACTGAGCGGAGGAGGCGGAGGGAGAGGACAGGCTCAGATGTGCGGGATTCGACGAGGACGAAGAGGATGAGAGAGAGGAGGGAGAGGAGGAGCGTTAGGTAGACAAGTGGGTGGGACCAGGGCAGTGATTCGTTCGTCTTGAATGCTAGGGCGAATACTAGTGCTCCGATCTGCTCACAAGGTCAGCAGCTGGGAAGGCAGTCGTTCTGCACTGGACGTACGCTAGTGACGAGCAGTCCACTTCCCCACCAGTCCAGCCGGTGCTTAACAGCATCCCACACTTTCCCGCCCTTCTCCTGCCCCTCGACCTCATACTCCACCAACCAGAGCAAGCCCGCCATCACACACGCCAACACCGGTAGCTGGAGTAAGAACGCCCACCTCCACCCCAGCGCATCCGCTACCAACCCCCCGTACACCCCTCCCAGGCCCGCGCCAGTCGCCCAGCAGACACTGGACACGCCGTTGAGCAGCGCCCGAGAGCGCAGGGGGACGACGTCGCTGATGATGATGGAGCCTAGGAGGCCTGACCCGCCCCCTCCTGCGCCTTGCAGCAGACGGGCGAGGATGAGCACGTTCATGCTGTGCGCTAGGCCGCAGAGGGCGGAACCGAGGATGAACACGCTAAGTCCTAGACCCATGGTCAGTCGCCGGCCGACGATGTCGCTCAGTCTTCCGTAGAGTGGGGTGCAGCAGGCGACGCTGAGCAGGTATGCGGAGTCTGGAGTGCGCTGTCAGTGGGTTGTGGGTGCCTGCGGAGATTGGGGGGACGCACTTAACCACGCTGCTCTGTGTAGTTCTCCGAAGCCGCTCGCGATTGGCGTTGCGAGCGTTGCGACGACCGTGCTGTCTATGCCGTAGAATATTGTGACTGTGAACAGCTGTACAAGTATCCAAGTGATTGTACGGGGTGAGATATCCTCCGGTCTAGGGGGACGTTCATGTTTGGATATGTTGAGGTAGTCGGAGAATATCCGTTGTGAGCTTGGGGAGAGTACGATGCTCGAGTGAGAAGAGCTCTGCGCAGACCGGCTGAGCGCATCCGCTTCGTCTGTCCCTTCCTCTTCCTCTTCCTCTTCCTCTTCTGCATCTGAGCTGTCGTCCGGAGTGTCAGAAGACGAGAAATGGACACGCCTGTCCTGGGTAGGGAGGGGAATGTACCCCTTGTCCGTGCCTAGACTGGTGAGTATGCCTGGGACATGAGGGAGGTGTTGGTGAGTGTTGGATGGACGGGGTGGGTAGGCTGGGTGGGGGTCGGTGGGGACTCGGGCGTGGGTACGACGGTGTTGTTGTCCTGTTGAGAGGGTGTCGTGTGATGATGGGCCCATGGTGAGTTGGGGGGGTATGATGAGGAGGAGGAGGAGGAGGAGGAGGAGAGTACACGCCTCAAGGTATAATTACATGTGCCAATAATCTTCCAATCTAATACTTCTTTTTTCATTCTTTCTAGGTCAATTCTTTCCTTGTCCGCAAAATATTCTCTTCTTTCCCTCCACTTCTTCTTAACCGGTAAATACCTCAAAATCGATACCTTCTCGTAACCATCTCTCCTTCCTTTTCCACATGAAGCAAACCCTGCCAGCACCCTCTATCCTCTGTTGGAATCCCGTGCAAGAAATCCTCCATCCTCCAATTCCTTTTATTTTCTGCACAAGAGTAAATTTCTGCAATGCAATGTAATGTATTTATTGTTCGGTCCGAGTTTACGCCTCTCCCGATCGGCGCCATCACCACAAAAAAGGCACAATCATTTCCAAATCAGTCCACAATCTACAAACTGATCCCGCGCCCCATCCCCGATGCCGATCGGCCAGAAGCCCCGCACAGGGTTCTCCTGGCAGGCTTCTCGGGAGGATGATCCCGCGCTTTGACTGCCTTTGAGGGAAATACGCCGCTCTGCCTTTCATAGTACATTACATTCTGCCCTCGTGCATTGGATGATCCGACAAAGGATTCCTGCACTGCCTATCTATCAATGCTGGCAATCATCCGACCATATTATTAATAACATGGCCTATCAATGGCGCGGAATATGGCACCCCTGGCGCTGATCCTCCTGCGACCGGAACTCTGGCAATATAGAGATGCATATGAAATACATAACAAGATCATGTGGCTATCTTATGCTCGGGCCGACCCCGCCAGTCCTCAACCTCGGTGGTTACCCCGACCCCGACACGCTCTGCATCGTCTCTCCCTGCAAATCCATCAGTCTCTCCCAGTCCCGCTGCTGTGCGCTCCCCTCGACCGGCAAGCCCCAAGCTGCGTTCCACAGATAAATACCTGTCTGTCCGGCGGTTGACGGGGTTTTCCTCTTTCCCGTCTCTGGGCTTGACGAGTTCGTCAGTAGGTGAGAACCAGCGACAGGACTGTCGGCAGTCTGCGAGGCCGGGGGAGATAGGAGGGGCCCGATCCGCTCTCGGACAATATCGAATATCCTCGTACTGTCTATAAACCAGCTCATACGCTCCACCGTCTTCCCCCTACACGTCTCACACGCCCTGCTGCCCGTAGCCAGGGAGTCCAAAGCCGTACAAAACGCCGCGTCAAAGTCCTCATACGGGGCGTTTCTCGTTCTCTGCTTTCCTTCAGCTAGGAGCACATCCGCGAGCGCTTGCCGGAATAAGGGAGCGGTGTGGCACCAGTCTGGCTTGTGTGCGCAGTCGGTCCAGACGGTGTTTTCCCCTCTTGTGCCACTTGCTAATGCGCGTAGGTGGGACCAGACAAGGCGCCTCGTTTCTATCAAATCGAGGAACGCGGCTGGGCCGAAAGACTGGATTAGGGAGTCGTACGCGAGCATATCGGGAGGAGAGAGCGAGAGACACTGGTCGACGAGCGCTTGGTCTAGCACGCGCTGGGAAGAGTATTGTTTCGCCAGGGGGAACCGGGCGTGTGGGAGTAGGGAGGGGGCGTTGCTCGGGTCGCGGGAGAGGGCGAGTTGGGAGAGGAGGTGGGAGGTCAGGGAGGGGAAACACCATTTGCTGCTCCATTCGAGAGCGGGGAGGAGCTCTTCGGGTGAGAGAGAGGTTGGGGCGTACCTGGTTTGGCTGTGGTTGAGCTTGGGATGAATAGGGCGGGGGAGGGCTTACGCAGGTGAGAGGAGCGCTTTCGCGAACGCGCGGAAGGAGCGGGCGGTCAGCGAAGGCTCGGGAACGTTCATATCCACCGGGGATTCTTCGAGTGCCCTAGAGAGGGAGACGGAGAGGGAGGTGCTGCTCCCCGGGTAACGGAGGTCGAAGAGTTGTGCAAAGAGCGTCGATTGATGCAGGAGATAGGTGGGGATGTGGAATAGCGTGTTCTCGACCTGCGCGCTGTTGGCTTGTGTTCAACCCTGGAAGAGTCGACGTACCAGTATGATAGTGTCACCGGCGAATTGCTCGTCTACTTGTAACGCGCTTCCGAATACCCGTTGCGCCCTGATGTGCTCAGGAGGTAGCGACGCCCCGTTCGCGTTCCCGTTCGCATTCGCATTCGTTCGGAGTGTCAGCGCGCTCCCGCTCATATACCGGCCTGCGTCTTCCATTATATCGAGGGACAGAGGGATATGAGGCTGCATATACGATGGGAGTGGTCGTCAATTGAAGAGGAGGGGAGAGACGTATAGAGGACGTTGATGTTGGTGTTGGGCTGCGGTGGTGCACGGGGAAGGTTCTGATCGGGGCCGGGGAGCTTCCCGCCTCAGCCGGATGGGTTCAAGATCCAATCAAAGACGCCGTCTCCCATAATTGACAAAGAGCAATTTGGTTTGGTTTGTGTTTCTTGGAAGAGTCATTCGTTTCTCGCATGGTTGTGGTATGTCAAGCCTGACTGTGAGGAAGAGGATATCAACGTCGTGAGTCAAGCGCCCGTTATATTACGGGTTAGCACCGCCACATTTTCCGCCAGGCCCGTGAAAGGCGCCGATTCAGTCGGCCAGCACCCTCTCTCACAGGACTATATAGTAACCCGCTCGCTTCAGCGCCTTCGTAGGCGAACATCTTTCTGATCACTCTTGCGAATTGGGATTGACCATGGGTAACGAAGAGAGTCAGCCGACGACTAGGCAGGGGCCGAACGTGCTCTCGAGCAAAGATATCCGGGGTGTAGCGGAGTACATGAAGAGCGAGCAGTGCAGGAAGGTGTATATCATGGTACGCTCCCCTTGTGCAATGTTGAACGACTATTGAACGTGACGGTATGGGTAGGCAGGAGCAGGCATAAGCACCTCTGCTGGGATTCCTGATTTCCGCTCTCCGGAGACGGGGCTATACGTGAGTCGTTCATCGTGGTGGAGTCATCCTGACTGACATTGGGCAGCATAACCTACAACGCTTGAACCTTCCTTATGCTGAAGCCGTGTTTGATATAGACTACTTCCGAGAGAACCCGATACCCTGTATGTATGCCCTCTGCTGCTCCTCGTCATCATGTGCTGATGGTATTCCCAGTCTACACGTTGGCGAAAGACATGGACCCCTCCAAGTTCCGGCCCACCCTCACCCATTCCTTCTTCAAGCTCATGGATGAGAAAGGCCTGCTCAACATGTGTTTCACGCAGAACATCGACACCCTCGAGCGACGCGCCGGCCTTGCGGGGGAGAAGATCATAGAAGCCCATGGGAGCTTTGCGAGCAATAGCTGTATTGAGTGTAAGATGCCGTTTGATGAGGAAGAGATGAGCGAGGCGGTGGAGAAGGGCGAGCCGGCGCGGTGTGATTCGTGTGGTGGGTTGGTGAAGCCTGATATCGTCTTCTTCGGCGAGGGGGTGCGTGATGTTCATCTATGGTGATCATTATGACTCATGTATGCTGCAGCTGCCAAGCTCCTTCTTTTCCACCGTTCCAGAACTCCGTTCTGCGGACCTTCTATTCATCCTCGGCACATCCCTCACCGTCATGCCCTTCGCTGGTATCTGCCGTCTAGTTCCCGAGTCTTGCCCCCGCGTCCTTATCAACCTCGACGCCGTGGGCGACATCGGCAGTAGGCCGGACGACGTCCTCGCCCTCGGGGAGTGCGATACGGTCGTGCGCAAGCTGTGCGAGGAACTGGGCTGGCTGGACGAGCTGGAACGACTTTGGGCGCAGACGGAATATCTGGGGGAGAAGGTTGAGGAGGAGGAGGTTGGAGAGATCACCAGGGATATTGAGCGGAAGCTTAAGGTTTCGGAGGCGGTTGAGCAGGTTGAGCAGGAGAAGCCGGAGAAGGAGGAGGCGACGGCAGTGAGCAAACCTGTTGAAGACGGTGCTGTGAAAGCAGAGGAGGCCAAGGCAACGACGACCGAGAAACCGGAAATGCCCGAGAAAGAGAGCAAGGATACAGTTGAAAAGGCCGACGAGACTGAAGATGTTACACTCCAGACCCAGGTGCTCACCGACCCGTCTAAAGCGGAGCTCGCAAGGAAGGAAACGGCACCTCCAGCTCCCGAAGCTAAGAAGGAAGAAGAGATCTCCGAGAAATCTGCCGATGACGTGACTGCCTCAGAGAAAGTCGAGGTCGAGGCTGAGAAGAAGAGTGTGTTGTAGAATGGAAGATTAGTAGAAACGGATTACGAGTTGTAGCGGTATATGTAACAGTCTGTACTTTGGGTTGGTGTAGTTTATACAAGATTCAATGTTGATTATTCTTGGAGGTTAACAACAGGAATACACGATCTTGGCTGTCATCTGCCTTTTCTCAGAAAAGAAAACCATACTGTCATGATGCATACACCTTTTACGATGTTATTATCGAATTGAATTGTTACAGAAATTGTCATGTCAAATGTATTCAAGATCCTTCAGCCTTATCGGGAATATCGGAACCAGCCCTAAAGTCATCCCTGATTCGCCTTGAGGGGAGTCAGCTCGCGTGCTGATGATTCCGCACTTCCGGCTGATCTCTCACCTTGCCACACACCATCCACTTACCCCTTTATCTTCTTGCTCGAACGGCCACACGGGGAAGAGGAAACGATGAGCTTGAGGGCGAGATTGGCCATGGATCAGAGGACAGAGAGGCCGTGAGTCTGTCATTCGCCTGCACGTGTCACTGCTGACACGTATACCATCGCAAGTGTATCTCGGAAACGTCGTCCATCCCCTGGTCCGTCAGTATCTAGCGCCAGAGATACACCAGAAACAACAAAGCCCTCAAAGCGGCAGAAGTTATCCCAGCCTGCGGAGGAAGCTGTACAAACTCGTGTGGATGTGCAGACCGCGTTTGAAGACGACTTGACTTGTCCAATATGCCTCGAGCTGATGTGAGTCAATAGAGAGAGTCGCGCCTGGAAATATGCTGATGCTTTCGCAGGGTCGGATGTCAGGGAGTCAACCCTTGTGGGCACATTGCATGCGGGATCTGCTCTGATGCATGGATCGTCCAGGTCTGTCCATTACTCTACGCCCATCTCGCTATCACGGAAGCTGACTATATGCGCCGCCAGAGGAAGGCCACCTGTTTTACCTGTCGCGAGCCTGCTGGTCCTGTCAAGCCTCTGATCCCATGCAGGAGCCTCGACAGCATTATCGAGAAACACATTGCTGTTCTCGAGGCTAGCGGAAACCTCGAGTGGGTGAAGGAGGGCGAGAAGAGGAAGGACTGGGATAAGCGCATGGGGTGTGTTCTGTGTACATATGACATACACGTACGCGTCTCTGACTGCATTTTGACAGTGAGTGGATCGAGATCAAGAATCGAGCCCCACCTGTGGCGGCTAGACACGTCCAGGAGGATCTCAGTATTGAAGATCTCAGAGACGAGCTTGAAGCCTACGGCGATCTTTACGACCGGGGCATGCGGAGAGCCAGGGAGGAAGATGTCGATGCTGCTGGCGAAACATTTGGCCGGCTGTTGAGGGTTGCCCAAGGGTTGCCGCTAAGCTCAGAGGAAGAGACCAGTGATGATGAAGTCCCGGGAGGCAGGGAACGGGCTATATCGAGGATCGTTCGAGACTTCGGCGGCGAAAGCTCGGAGGAGGAGCCAGATACTAGTGACGATGAGCAACCTGTCGGTCACCGGCAAAATCCTGTGGTATTGGACACCGACCATGAGGATGACGATGGAAGATCGCATGTTGATCGGCCTCAGGCTGCCTTACCCCAAGTGATCCAGGGAGTTCATTGGGAAAACGGAGAAGAATGGCTGGATGGCACAGCGGAAAATGATGGTGAATATGAAGACGAACCTTACTACGACGATGCCCTCTACGATGCGGACCATTACGATGAAGACGCTCCCGACTTCCCCAATTTCCAGTACGGGAATAATGAAGAACCAGCGCAGTATGCGGACGGACCCGAATATGAAGCTGGAGAAGGTGATGCCGCACCTTATGAGGAGGATGTGGAGCTTGACGGAGAGGAAGTGGATGAAGAGGACTATCTCGACTGGGTTTCGGGGGAGGAGGATCCGGACGAGGGTGAATTTTATGGAGACTATGAAGACGAGGACGTCAACACCCACACTCCCGATCCCTCTGAACGGAATAACGAGCCCAGCGAGATGGTTCACACCTGGCCAGAGGACCGCTATGGGCACGCTGCCAGTGAGATCATCCGCCTCCAGCAAGAACGGCGGCTTGCGCGCCCAACAGGGAATCGTAACATCTCCGGCCCCGGCACGCCCCCAGTGCGGGACGAGCCTGTGCGTACGGCGCCTGGCCCCTCAACTCCGAGGTTAGTGTCAAGGTTTTCTCTGTTCGGCAACCGAGCTACATCCCCTCCTACTCGCCCATCGACCAACATAAACCGGCGTCGTGCGCCCTCGCCCGACCAGGCCGCGCACTCGGAAGAAGAACGCGAACAAATCGTGATAAGGGGAAGCATTGCGGATCAGTTCCAGCGCCTGCGCCGTGTCAGTGCCGCACAACAACGCCGGTCTGACAATGCGACCGCTGCAGCTGCGCAGTCCCGCTCCATCCCACCTAACATCATCCGGACGCACAGGCGCTTCACGTCCCCTCCAGCGGGCAGCACCCATCGGAGGTTCGTCTCTCCTCAGATTGCGCTTCCTGGTACTCCACCCGTGCGCCGGCGTACCATCCCCATCGATCTACATTCTCCGGAAGAGAGACCCGTTCAGCATAATTCTCGACGCCCAGTTCGGACGAATCGGAGTCGGTCTCCTTCGGCGACAGCCCAAGTAGTCAGGAGTCTGCCTGTCTCTCGTGCAAGAGAAGAACCTCCTCAGCAACAGCAGCGCCGTCGTCGCATTCAGGCAACAGCCCGAGCCCAAGCACGTGCAGCACTAAGGGAACGTCACGAAACGCCTATTCCAGACGGGCCTGTCGGTGAGAGAGAAAGGGGTAGCGGGAATGGCAATGGAGGTGCGAGGAGGGAAATTCCTGTTCTAGTAACTGTACGAAGCAACCCTGTAAGTAGGAGACGACGATAGAGAACTGTCTATTGTGGATAGTAAAGACGGGCGGGAGATGTGAAGCAGAGCTTCGTAGCGCAATGGATGGTCCGACGTCCTCTTCCTCGTCGTGCTCTCCACCATTTTCCTCTTCAATGTCCTCTTCGTTCTCACTGCCCTCATCGAGCATTTTCGAAAGATCCATCAAGTCGTCGCCATCCGTCCTCGTCCTTAGCCGAGGGCGCAAAGCATCAAGGTTTCAACATTCGTCGTAACGGGCCATGTAACAAATAGAAGCTAGGGGGGTTGGGAGCAACTACACTACGCGCGACAGACGAGCCAAAGCGTGAAATACATGCGACCGCCCACTGCCGCCCCTCTATTACCTCCTCCTAAACCCATTGAGCGTGCAACGCGTCTAGCCTGGCGCGTTGCAGAGCCATACGCCGATACAGCCGCGCACGGTAACCGGAGTTGGCCATGCCCTTGAGCGCGGAGGGTTCGATCAAGATGCTTTCGCAGTGCCGGAATGTCGTACGGTGCTCAGGCTGCCGCCCGTCCGCGACGGCCTCCGCGAGCTCCTTGGTGATCGTGACCTCGTAAAACTCCATGGTGGCGCCCTTCGAGGTCATACACGGGATCACAGCCTTCTCCAGCTCCTTGTGCGTCTTCTCCCTGTACTATTCTTGATTGTAGGTGAAGACGGCGACGCACTGCGCAAGCAGCTGGTAGAGGATGGAGCCGCGGAACTGCTGCGCCTTGTCTTCGCAATGAATCGTGATCATGAATGGGCCATCGTTCGTCATCACCACGACGTCGGGGTTCGCTGCCGTCCGTTTGTGCATCATCTCGAGCGTGAGCGGGTAGTTCTGATGGCAGACACCCTTGGCGTCGAACTTGTAGAGTCGGAACATCGAGGCAACGAGCGTATCGACGTGGGCTTCGGGACCGTCGGCCTGCATGTAAAGGCTTATGTGCCGGACAACATCATCGCACACATCTCCGGTGAGACCGCGAGCGGTCGCATAGCTCCTCGCGCCCTGCATCGGGTTATGCCCTTCGGCCAGCTGGCAGATTTCGGGGATCTGCTCTGAAGAGACGCTCTCCTCCGAGGCCCCAAAGAACTCGGAAACAGATACCTCGATCGGGGTCTTGTCTATCTTGAAGAATGCAAACTCGTAGGAGCTCCAGTCGGTAGTGGGGTGCAATGGCGGCGACATGACCGAGCAGACTGTCAAGAGCAAGGGGTGGCCTGCGTGCGAGCAGTTCGAGGAAGCGGTGATGAGATGGAGGCCAAAGTGTTTGGATGTATGTGTATTGTGATGTCATGATCAGCGTATGTCCGACCGGAGCCGAGACGCGTCCCACCTGACTTCGCGCTTTTTTGATTCCGTCGTTCACTGAGAAGAGTTCCCGGCCGAGCGCGTACGACAAGAGCTAAGAGGGGCAAAGAGGTATCCCTTTTCCTGTATCTCCCGACGACACTCCTTCATCTTGATTTCTTACCACCACCTCCCTTTTACTCCCTCCAACTTCTGGCATGAAGCCTAGAGAAAAGTACGAGCGAGAAACGCTCGACCCCATCTCTGAGGGCCCCCCTCATGCCGGTCCATCGTCCAGTTCAGGAGCGAGCGCAGGAGCGGGAAAGACAGGAGCAGGAAAGGGAGAGTCGAGCCATTTGAGGGCATTCAGCAAGACTATTATGACCCCTTTCGCGGCTGGGAGGAGCGATTCAACGAGGATATTGAAGGATTGTGAGTCGCTGGTTTTCGTTCTATAGCTTCGTAGAGCGTATGCGAAAGGGTATCCTGACGATTTCTAGTGGCTCCTGTCATTATGACCCCCCGAATGATCAAAGGTGTTGCGTCCGCCTCTTCCACAATCTCTTCCCGGCACTTGGCACCCCGTGCCTCCGACTTTGCAGCCCTCGGTCGTGCACCACTGCGTCTCACTCTCCACCCACGGAGGATCACCAGCGCCGACATGCAGATCCTGGAAGCAACTCCCGAGCTTTTGCACGCCGATGTTCCCGAACCCCGAGGTGTTGAGAAGGATGTGAGCTTGCTCAGGGGATTTCAGGCGACGATCCCGAGCAGCGAGAGAGGGAAGGTGAGACGGAGGAAGGTGAGAATGAGTGAGGGTAGAGTGGGGCTCGCTGGGCGAGGTGCAGGGGAGAGGGGGCTTTTGACGGAAGAGAATGATGAAGGCGAACGACCGAGGGGTACACCTAGGAAAGGGAGAAATCAAAGAAGGAAAGAGAGGGAGGCGGGGAGGGTGCTCAGTAGAGAGGAGCTGAGCACCCAGGTGGGGGAGATCAGGATCGATAAAGAGAACCTGCATGTTCGACGAGTACGCATATATTTACACTAGACGAAGAATGACGCTGACGTGTGTTATCCAAGGCGCTGGTCAACGCGGATATAGACGAGATCACGCAGAAGATCGCTGCGCTCGATGCGATACGCGAGCAGCTGCATCAGGATCTTCTCAGGATGCAAGAGGAAGAACTAGAATTAGACGACGAGCGTAGGTGCTTTCCGAGCTCCCGTATCATGGTCGTTGACGCGAGGTGTCATTAGTGACTGGGGTACAGGAACAGCTTGCAGAGGCGGACAGTCGGAAGCCGGAGGTGCCGAGTGCCGCTGCAAGACGAAAGAAAGGTGCAAAAGATGCGCTATAGTTGGAATTGTGACTTACATCACCCTGCAGGCCCTGCTTTCTTACCTTCAGATCATGACGACCTTCCCCCAGGCGTCGCATTTATGGTGCGTCTTCTTCCCCCTGTAACGCATCGCATGCTGAAACCTCGCCAGACACTGTCCCACAGCTCTCCCATAACAAGCCTAGACTTTTCAGAGCCGTACGGCACGCTGGTCAGCGCGGATCGTTCAGGGAGCGTGCGCGTCTGGGACCTACTTGAGGGCGAAGAAATCGGCCGACTACGGGGCCACGCAGGGTGTGTAAAAGCCCTGCAGGTCGAGGGTGACGTGTGTATTTCAGGCGGAGAAGATGGGGCAATAAGAGTGTGGAGCTTGGGGAGGGTGGAGGAAGCCGAGGCGGCTCTGGAGGAACGAACTGAGAAACTGAATGGGCATGCTGAGCCCGCTGCTTCGGAGACTGGAGAGCAAACGGAGCAGACTGGGCCGCTCTTGCATGTTCTTGAGGGCCATTCAAAGGCGGTCACGGCACTGTATTTTGAGGACACGAGCTTGGTGAGTGCTTCTACTTACTATGCGGTGGCCAGACAAGGTTTCTCACAAAATCCAGGTGACTGGCGCCTCGGACAAGACCCTTCGTCAATGGGACCTTACGACCGGCCAGTGTATCCTCACGATGGATATTCTCTGGGCGATCTCCCATCCCCCCGTAAGCCCAACCATCGATGGCCTCTCGCCGTCAGGCTTGCTCGCTGCTGCCTCGGGCTCCTTCTCCTGGCCCATCCCGTCAACAGGGGAGATGTGGACGGACTACGTCGGGGGCGTCCAGGCTTGGGGATACGCGCTCGTGAGCGGGAGCGGGGACGGCGCGGTCAGGTTGTGGGATATGAGGACTGGCCAGCCGCATAGGACTCTGCTGGGTCATACCGCGCCAGTTACTTGTGTGCAGTTCGACGAGCTGAATATCCTCAGCGGAGGATTGGACAAAACAGTGCGGGTATGTACTCTCCCGTCCTCTTCCCCCTCTCCTAATGTGAAAGGATGTATGCTAATGGGCATGCGATGATAGATATGGGACCTCAGAATGGGAAATACGGTGGATATTATCTCGTTCGACGGGCCTGTCACTAGCCTGCAGTTCGATTCGCGCAAAGTCGTAGCCTGCGCAGGCGAAAATGGGGTCAAGGTATGCTTCCTATCCTTCGTCGCTATATGCGAGAGCTGAGACTGGGTGACTTACTCCGAAATATAGATCTGGAACCGCACGAGTCGGCAGATGTCCACCCTCAGCATCAACGGGCATACCCTGCCCGCAACAAAGATCCGGTATATAGACCGATACATGGTCTCGGGTGGAGCGGACGGGGTGGTGAAGACGTGGGCGTTATAGTACGGGCTGATCTGTCTTCGGTCGGCCAACAGTGAGAAGTACACGAAAATAAAATTCGTTTCTTCCCGTTTTCCGTGATCAGCCTGACTCGAAATCACCCAGGACAAAGACAATCGGCCTATATTTGTCCGGGCATATCGAGCCTCTGCGTCGCCATTACAAGATGAACTTGGTCGACCTGAACTGTGTAACGTTATTTTCTTCGGGGCAGATAGCGACAGTGTCCGCATCATCCATTCCTCCGTTCGCTGGCTCATCAGCCTTGTCCTTGAGGAACTAGATTTGGATGTCAGCGACGACTGTATCTCAGCACTCAATTCAACTGGAGGGATTTCCTGGCTGTCATACCGGCTGGGGACAGTGGGGTGCCTCAAGGAGGAAGAATATGATTAGCCTCATGACGGAAGTACCTGGGTACATCATGTCAGTTGCCTACATTCACCATAGCGCAATCACGCGACCCTCAACCGGGGAATGGGAATGTAATCACACGGGAACGATATCGTTCAGTCCTTCACTCTTTGGTATCACTATAGCAACCCCCAGAACGACATTGGCTCGTTTGGGTAATCGACCGAATATGGGATTCAACTTGTTACCTCCAAGTCTATTTGTTTGTCACCCTCCCCATCAAGAGCGCATCTCACTGTCTTCCATTACCTTACGATGACAAAGCTCGTGCGTAATCTTTGGAATTTGGATTCTTCTTCACGCAAAAGTCAGCAATTTCTAACGGCAATTGCGGACGTTCTTCGAACTTGCCAAAGTATGGGCGTTTGGTTCCTCGGATCTCGTCCTATTATCAGAACCCTACACAACCACAACAGGTTAAGCAACCTCCTGGAGAAGTCATTCATTCCACCGCTTTCTCTGAATGCGCGCTCTCCCTGATTAAGGATTCGACTAGCCGTTGAAGTCGCCGAAGCTTGAACTGCACTTTGCGACATCTCTTGCTTCGGGCAGTGATGGACCAAGGTTAGCCCATTTAGTTCTACAAAGCCATGACTTGCCTGCACCAAACATTGCCCAAACCGATCTATATATGCCCCATCAACATATCGTCAGTCATCACCTTCTGATTTGCGGCTTGACCACTTGCACCCATTGGACAATTAGCTCAACTGTAGGAATGACATATGGCTTTATCCATGCCCAATATTGGATTGGTGCCATAACATTTCGTAATATTTCCTAGTCCTTCTGAATTATCTTTGTGATGATCAATCCAATTGCGTTGGTAGCTTTAGACAGTTTAACCTGAAGTGTATCAGGTTACGTAAGGCGGGGCAGGACAAAAACAGCCCTGAACCGTGCGGCATCGAACAGCAAAATTCCCCAATATGGATATAAGGAACAGTCATACTTCACCTGTATATATGGCTGTGCTGTCAAGATACGGCGGCGACGTTTTCCTTCTCCTCATCATTCGTCCTACGCATCCAACGTGGGCACTCGAGGCTACGTACTCTATCGCTACAAGGGATGGTACTTTGTTCGGTACAATCATTACGACAGTTACCCGAGCGGATTAGGGCGCTCGGTCCTTAGCTCCATCCCTACCGATCCAGAGCGGTTCGATGAATGGGTGCAGGAGCAAAAGGAGTGGCTATCAGAGCAGCTGGAGAATGAGCCAATTGGTACGTGATTTGGATCTGCTGTTGGTCAGACGTTTGATGGTGCTGGTACTTTCACAGGTGAGGACGGAAAACGACACTTGGGAGATGACTATGTCATCCAGGAGGAGCAGCCCGAAAACGACCTCTTCATCGAATGGATCTATGAGATCGATCTCGATCATTACATCTTCCACATCGACAGCCATCCCATGTTTAACTTGCGATGCATGCCGCCCAAAGATATATTCGAGGAATGCATCGGCGTCGATCACTATGGACATCGGTCTCCGTCTTCCACCACTCCCGCCCAGCATCTCTATGTTATCCCTCGAGCCTCCGGGCCGATTACAGCGGTGCAGGACGCGGTATCCTCTCAAGAACCACAATTGAAGGTTGGAACACAGATTACTATCGATGAACTGTTGGGAGTTGGACAAGCGCTAACGCCTCGGGAAAAAGTTCGAGAGTCACTTCTCCAAGTGCTCCTCGGCGCATTTCTCTGCACTTCGGTTGCTAATCAGCATGTCCCTTGGTTGCTCACTTGCTCCTCTCGCCAACAGATACCCGAGAACCTACAGGAGATCGTAACTAAAGAGCTGCTCGCCCCTCTTTTCTCACCCGACTTCGCGGCCCAATATGATGGACCCGATGATCCGCTATCATTGTTATGGCTGCGAGTGGACGTATTTCTTTGGCTTACCACCGATCTCAAAACTCCCTTTTCAGTTCATCAGGCGGCATGTGCGAGTCTTTCCCAGGTCGACCTTTCGGTCAAGCGAGGCACCTTATATGGGCCCCTATTCTCCGTCTCCGACGTCGTTGTAATTCGTGTGATCAATGCTGCATTGCCTCAGTGATCCACCTGGGATGGATGGGGCAGGCTGGGGGTGAAGTATGAATATCACCGTTCTCAGCCACCCTCATTGCAATCTTGAGGATGCGGTAGTTAGGCTCTGCTGGGTTGGGGTGTAACTCAAACACCCCATTCATCCCCTCAATGAAATGGAGATCTGCCCTACCCTTGCAATTGTGCCTGCACTTGTACTGGAAGATGCCCAGGCTGGTCTTCTTGTGGAACTCCATGACCATGGAGCACAGGCACTGGAGGTCTTGCACATTGCTGGTCAAGTTTCTTGCAGGGGCCCCCCAAGTGTATCACCAGCCTTGGCCATCTTCTCCTCCAAAAACAAAGATACCCAGGCTGAAGAGAGGGTGGGAAAGCTCTTTGGAGTAGCCACTGAGGATGGCTTGCTTGCCTGGAGCATGGTCCTGATAGAAGGCCCATAGGAAGGGCCCCAGCCAGATCTCTGCAACACACTGGGAATTGAAAGTGTTTGCTGTGAAAGCAATCACCATGCAGAACCCAGCTCTAGACCAAATGTAGTCAGTATCTAGGCCTCAACAAATATAATTATTTTGAATACACTTACTTGCATGCATGCACAGTTGGCAATGCCTGAAGCACCATGCCACTGCAGGTCAGCAGCATGAGCACTGCATCATTACAGATGGATTTCAGGTTGGTTTCTCCAAACACAGCTGAGCAGATCTGTAAGAAAGCTTCAGTGTGTGGTAGATAGAAATAAAGTAAAACTTACATCCAAGGGTGTACCATACCTGCAGTACTTGCTCCCCTTGTTATACAAGAGCCTACCATTGCCCTCATTGCAGTGCACATCCACCACTGTGAGGATATGGAACTTTTCCCTGTGGCTAGGCAACTTATTAGTGTTTTGTTTAGAGGGGTTAAATAGCATACTCACTTGGCAGAGACTTGGTGCACAAGCTCCTTGATACAGGCTTGAAGCTCACTCAGCCCATCTGCTTGCTGGTAGGGCAAGCTGTCTGTGCCCCAGGTTGTGCAATTCTGCTCAAGAATCACATCCACATAGTGTGCACAGTGGGACTAGGGAAGATTCAGTTAGAATCATGGATATAATTAATAAATGGAAACACTTACAACTTTAGGATACATATAAGTCTTCCCCAGGTATGCCCTCACAAGCCTAGAGGACAGCTCAGACATGCTGTACTTGTTGTTGGCCTCCTTCCAGTGCATGAGCACCACAATGATGGGGTCAGCATGCACAGGGCCTTGGGACCAGTTGATCATGTTTCCCACATAGTCATACTGGCAAAGATTAACTAGAGTTGAACTTCACCAGAAGAAACACTTCCTGGAGCCCAGGACATTCCTTCAGCCTTGCAGCACTTGATGCAGAGGATGCCTTCAATGCTGTCAACCTCTTCCTTTGTCACCTGAGCACATCCTTTCTTGGCAGGGACATTGATGCAGAAACTGCAACTGCAGATTCTGCACTCTGCCAGAGCACCTGGCTTGTGACTGAGATGGCAAACATCACAATGCTGTACATATGTCTGGCTCACTTTCAGGGTCAGGGAGAAAAAGGACTTACTGTTAACTTCTTGAATTGGGCTTGGGGCAAGCCAAGGCTGAGGAGGGTGGCAAATGCACTTGAAATCCCATTGCCTATCTTCCCTTCCTGAAAGAGCACATTCTTGTCCATCCTCAGGATGGCTTTGGCTTCAGGGGGGCAGTCTGCAGCTCAGACCCCTGCATCCCTGTGCCAATAGGTGTAGAGGAGGGCAGCAGAATGTGCTCTATTAACTGGATTGGTTTATGTCCACCTTGTAATATATTCACTTACTTCATCTCATGGTGTGGGACCAACCAATAGTGCCACAGTCCACTTGCTGCCTCAGGAGAACCAGCTTGCCAAGCACAAATCCAAGCTCTGGCATCATTGTCCTCCCTATAGTCATCATCATTGTCTGGCTCAACAGCATTGCTGTCATCATTGCCCCAGACCACAGAGTAACACAGTTCAGAAGACTATGAAGGCAGGTTAGTATCCTATTACAATGCCCTGTAAGAGTACTCACATTAGGACTGGGACCAGGGCACTGTCAGGGCACCAGCTCATTGCTTGGTCAAGAGACATGACTAAGCCTTTATGACATGGAAGTAGCTGGTATACCTTGGCATGTGCTGGAACCTGCTGGAAGGATTGGATGGTCAGATGACCTGCTGTGCATGGCTGTGCATGACCTCATATGACCTCATCCTTGGTCATATGACCTGATCACCTGACTAGGCTGAGTAAGCAAGATGTCTAGCAG